GGCACGCAATTCAACCGCCAGTCGTCGTTGGGCAAGCAAAACCCTGCCTTCTCCGCTCCGTCCAAAACACACACACACACCCATGCAGATACACACTGAGTGATTGCAAAAGTTTGTACCAGATTTGAAACCAAAAAATACAGCATGAAACATTCATGAAACATAGTAAGTATTTACCATAATTTAATCACACCCTCATGCCCTACGACTGTTGTTCAACGTTTTGCAAGTTCTTGATTTCCGTCTTTGCAGAAACTGAGTGGGTTGCGTTTAAAGAAAGTTGTAAGGTAGCTTCTGACTTCCTCCCTGGAATCAATTTTTGACTATTTTGCAGAGCACGAAACTAATATCTGGAGAGGCGACGTCTGGAGGACTTCCCTTCAAACCCCCTAGACTCCTGCAATGCCTGTTGAGCAACGCGTGGCCTGGCCTGGCTCTGTCATGGTGAAAGACGCTGCCCTTCAGATTTACCAAATTGGGATGTCGCCTGCTACTTTTACACTGTTTGGTGAGTTGCTCATGGTACTGCTGAGTCACGTGGGAAAAACCCGCAATAACTACTCCCCCATCAGCACACGACGACACTCGCGTTGAATGCAATTCAGAACCTCCCACAGATCCTGCTTCTTCTCTTCCACGCTTCTTGTTTTTCATTACCTTGTTGTATACAAACCATTATTTACTCCCAATTTTAGCTTAACCCACGATTAAACTCCTTTTACTGTCTTTTGCATTTGTCAAAATGTGCGGAACCCCATGTTCCAAGTTTTGAAAGGTATCTGTGTTAATTTAAAAGGCAAAATGCAGTTGAAATGTCAACACTTGGTGCCTCGAAGACCCCTTGGGTGGTAATCCATGGATCATTATTTCCTAAATCATGGGGAAGGTCATTATTGATGCCGGGAATTCGCCCAGCGAGAAGTTCACCACTTAGATTGAAGACAACACTTTGCACTCGATGAAGCCGCTCTCTGACTGTCCCAAAAGCAGGAGCATGACCCAAATAAGCGGCCTCAATATTTTTTGCTGCGAGTCCACCTCGCACTCTGTTCGAAAACTCATATTAGATAATGAGAAGTTGCTTCTTCTTTTAGAATTATTACCACACAAGTTAATTTAAACAAACTTGTGCCTCGATGCAAACAGAACACTGATAATGTAGCAGACCAGTTAAGTACAACAAATAACAGACACCGTCAAAAGTAAAGGAAAACTAGGATAGTGCGGAAGTGGTCAGTGTACTTCGTTTATCAAAATACGAAGACCAAGTGGCTGTAACTGCTTTCAGGACTAAAATATTAATATTTATTAATGTTACAATACATGCAATACAACTTGGCCGGTTACGCTATTACTACAGACCATTGTGTCTTTGACTACCTAAATTATCTGTCAACAGACATGGGCTGAATTTCTTGGTTAAACGCGTTATCAACGCGGTGAAGATGTAAACCTGCACAAATCAGTGGTTCACCCTGTGACTGTTGATGAAATGGGATCCCACGTGGGACGTTCTGATAATGTTCCGCGGTAGGCAACCATACCAAGTATTTCCCTTGTCAAAAAACGATATTGTATTTCAGCATAATGCAAATAGGCTGTTCAAAAGTGTACGACAATCGTATCAAATTTATTTAGATTAAATCAGGATGATTTTTAAACGATTTACTTATGTGACATCAGTAGACATTTTATGCTTGACAACAGTAGTCTTCATATTCCTTCAGCCACTCACTAATGGCCTCAATCTCAGTTTGGCGGGCAATCTTTACCGAGGGTGGGTCAGCTTCATTCGCACTTCTAGAACAGAAAAAAAAACAACAAGAATCTAATGCAAATAAAAAAACTAGTTTTAAAATAATGTATGAGAATTTAAACCTAGCGGCGATTTCCTTATTTTTGTGCCGATAAATACTATACTTCGAGCACCAAACTCTGTGCTAGGAAGGCAAAAAATTAATTGTTCAGACAAATGTTCCAGTACATGGACTGGATGAACATGTCTACTTGTACAATTTCCTCGTGCTCCTTGTTGCACTTTTTTGGCAACACTAAATGTAATGTTAAATGAAATTACTATAAATCCGACTTAAATAGGTGTGATGAGTTGCCTCGGCTTGATGCCCACCACGAGCTGAGCACGTAGATTATTGCAAATGTAGTTAGCGGGCGGTAGTGAAAACTGATCATTGCGCTTTCGACCCCTGTTCCTGACAAACGCGGCCGTTAGTATTTAGGCCCGTTAAGCTAGACACGAAAGGGCTCAAGAAGGTGCACACCCCAAGGATCAGGCCCCAAAGTTGAATGTGCGTGCCCTCTGTGGGCGCAATAACCGCACCTCAAATCAAGGTGGTGGGCACCGCCGTGAATCTGAAGGGCAGTCACACTTTTCGAAACGTCCTCAAGGATCTACAATAGGGCACAAAAGCCAGTAGGGATAGAAAGATTTCAAATCAACGTTAATAGACTGGAATGCAGGAAAAGAGAAATACCCCGCCTTTCATCCATGGATCAAGGTTTCCATTGCTAAAAACAATGTTGCTTGCTCGTTTCCAAACTAAAAGAGAAAAACACCATGAGCGTTACGCCAAGCCAGTGTGCAAATAACGCCACTTCCATACTATGGAGATTGCCACACCAATGAGGCGTGTGGCGGAGTTCATCCCTTAGTGCTCTGTTGAGCTAATTCAAAATGGTCCAAAAGACACCCGATATATCGGCGACTTCATGTGAGTCAAAAACCCTTACTGTTATATTATAAATCTGTGTACAGGCAAAAGACGCGTAAATAGGGAAGCATGAAGGATAGTCGGAGGTGGTGAAGTGACATACCGCATATGCAGACGATTCTACACCACAATTTGCTAGCACAAAGTATTATCCACCCAACAGTCAGTTGGGCGATCACCATGGCCGATTGTGTGACGCTTATGCCCCGTGGCTAACTTTGAACACATTAAAACGCCCAATCGATCTGCCTCTGAGGGCCTCCGACGGGTGGCACGCAACATACAACTCGCGACTTAAGTTGTTGTTGTTGCTGCCTGAGAGTTTGCGGCAACAAATCAAGTAAAGCCATGTCCAAGATTCCACATGCACAAGTATGTTTATACTAAAAATTGGTCCGATGCCAAACGCTCGAAGCGGCAAACACTGGGTTTTCGTTCCGACACCAAATGTCTGGATAGCATTTGTAATGACGCTGCTAAACCCAGCCAGAATTCGGAACTAATGCGAGTCAAAGGGGATGCCCTTGTTTTATACAAGGAACTAGACAAATTTACACACATTGCACGTGTTTTTTTTCAGTCTTTACTAAGAACCTTAGTCAAAACTCACTGGATATCGGTCCGAAAGCAGTAAGTAACTGTTTTTCAGACATGCGTACACCATATTTCCGGTAACAATATTCATTGACCTCCTCCAGTGTCTTGGGTAGGGAGGGGAATAAATCATTTGACGTGGCGTTTGACGGGTCATAGAGATGCATCTCAGTGCAGGCCTACATGTGCGAAAGGACAGTGCGATGGTAACACATGCCTACAGGACCAGTGAGTTCGGCCAACGGGACACCGTGAGAATTCATGCCTCTCATGGTCCCCTAATATATGCGAATGCAACGACTTGAGTCTGAAAGACTGGTAGAGAAGGCTTTTCTAAGCACTGCTGGCTCGGGTCTACATTTTTAACTTTGTAGAAGAGTTCCAAAAATTATTATTTAATATAGAAAAGCCATTTACTGATTTAATGCACAAGGTCTAAACAGAAGGATCCAGAGTTGGCTTGAAATCAGTTTCTCTGCGTTTAACTACGAAGCCTGTTGAAATAACTTAATTTCAATGCCCATGTTGGTTAAAGGCAGCTAGGTACTGCACTTTCTTCACTTACTACCATTGGAAATTAATTTTATGGAACACTGCGAGTTGGTATTTTTTAATACACAACAGACACAAATGAGCTAAAATCCATGGTTATTCAGCCTAAAAAATTACCAACGTCATGGAATTAGTAAGCTTGACTTAAATCATTCGAAAGTGTTTACCTGAAAATCCCACGCAATCGAATCGTCGCCCAATCCGCACCCAGTTATGTCGGCGCAGTCAATATATTGACTTTTGTAGTCAAAACAGGACTCTAAAACGATACACGTGAAAACAGATGTCGACTAAGTCTGGATGAAGATACAACACCTACCGTGCTCTGATATCTGTCATGAATCTAGACCCACATTAAAATCGGAAAGTGGCTGGGATTCAATGAAAAAGCACATCAGACGCTGAAAACGCTGAAACCAAGTAACCTGCACAAAAAATTGACAGGGTTTATTTTAGAGCACCAAACAGATTTTAACAAAGGACACTGCAAAGGCTTGGCCTAGGTGATTTTAAGACACTCGAAAATACGAGAACCTGTCTGTTCAGAAAACGGAGGCAAGGAGATTACTGTGATCAAACCGCAAAAGATGGAGATGGGCGGTTGACTACCATGGAAATGCGTTACCCTGAAGAAAGCACGGTAATCTTAAAACTAGAGCAAAAGGTGCAAACAATGGCTGGTGCACGGGGGGTCAATTTTTATGCTTTTTGCAAAGCCTCTACGGCATATTGGAGGACCAATTAGAATCGATGATTGGGTTATGGGAGAGTAGAATCCAACAAATTCGACTTCCTTAAACTGTCGTTAACAAAACAATAATGACATTCATATGAATGACAGCAATATTAATCTTGGTGCTACAAAGTTAGCGAACATCAAAGATCAACAAACGCCGTCTAGTACCTGGATAGTTTATAAGACAGCAATCCTAAGACATTTCCTTCTAGAAATGATCTTAACTTACCCGGGCTTTTACTGTAGAAAACCCCAACAGCCTCCCTCAGTCCTGCAAGTGGATTTTTGATTCCAAACTTGATTGCCCTGTCACAAGAGACTTTGACGGGGTTCGCGGGCAAATCCGACATAAATGAGCTGGAGTATGGGTAATTCATCATGCTCATCACGACAAATGCATTACGGGACCATCGGAGCATCCTATCGAGGTCTTCTAACGTTTCCAGAGGCTGACACAGACCTAGCTCAATAGTGATGTTCTTTAAACCTTAAAGTAAGCATAACAGATGTGGGTAGAAACTATGCATCACAGTTTTAAGCAAATACTTGCATTTCTTTACAAGTCGAGATCCGTTTCACGTTGGTAAAATTCACATTTTAAGCCAGTGGACCAATGCGTAAGTAATGAATTTGTTTCGCGCACTGACAAAGCTAAGAAACAATGAAACACATCACACTCCGAGTACCAGGAACCAACAATAAACATTGACTGACTTAACTAATAACCCACAGTCTGTTTGATTTTAAAAGTGTCTGCGAGATCATTACCATTTTAGAAAGCCTGTATCTATAAATTTGACGAAAATACTGAAGTGTCAAAAGGACCGAGACACACGACGCAGATGAAAACCCAGGTTTAATATTTTTACGGTCTTACCAAATCAGCCCATTACTAGCTTAGCCTTGTCAATCTCAGTCGAAATTGCCTTTAATACTTCGTATCAGCCAATTCACAATGCCAAGTCGATACATTGTGGATAAAGTTATTCAAACAGAGGACTTCAAACTCTGTTAACATTGAAAATTTAAGTTGTGTTAAAATTAACTGACGTCTTATAAACGCCGGTGGATCTTAATAATGCCATTTTCTGGTTACAAAGTAAAGCAAATATTGGCAAAATAAAGCACCATTAAATGTGTCTACGAGTAGGCAACTTACCCACTAAAAAGGTTATTACATACATAGTGTGGTTCCTCTTGAAACAAATTGCAAAATGTGCAGGATTGCAGCTTGATCAAAAAATACATTCAGGGAAGCTCAATAAACAAAATTTGCATGAAAATCAAGCAATCGCGAAAGCACACCGCCTTTTGTGCAACTTAAGCAAGACGTTGCAAGCAAAGGACATTATGCATAAAGCCAACTCCTTGGACAAAATCTGTGTGCCAAATATTTACAAATAGTAGTCACAGTAGCGTTTATGAAGCTACTCCGCTACTGATGCCAGAAGAATATTCGATGCAAAAGCACGGTCCTTCACATACAAATTATGGGGTTTTTTGGAGATTCAATTATTCGCGATCAAATATTTAACTGTGTAATAATAATACCAATTTCTATTACATTTTTCAGATAAAATTTTTGCCAAGAGCAAATGATAGTATTCCCTTTAGACTTCCAAAATTAAAAAGGTATTAAAAACATATCAGCCTGTTCTACTTACCATTTTGACCTTCATTGGCTCGCTTCAAAATTTCTACATATGCTGCTTGGATAATGGGAATGCATGTTTCATTCGCACTGAAATAAACCTAGGGAAGGATTCATAAATTAGATAACGTCAAATTTTTATCCAAACCTCCTTGATCGACTCGAAAAACGTGTGAAGGGAGGCTTCACCAGTAACCCATTTAAATGGAGCGCTGGAGGATATAGCTCCGGAAATTATATGTGGGTATTGTAGCCTCATGTAAGCGGCCAACATACCGCCATAACTAAAAATGATATTTAGATACAGAAGTAATTATACCTGCCACCAAATGCTATAACCGGTGCAGAAGTCGCATTAAACTGTTGTTTCACAGCTGGTATTAAATTTGCAAAATCCGCCATTGCTTCCTCTATAGTAAGGTATCCAATGTAAGGTTGATTAAAGCTGGAGGGAAACGGCAGGGATTCACCGTAGTAACGCTAACTTTCAAAGTCTCAATTAGCTTCAAAAATAAGTCGAATTACATGTTCGGCGAAAAGGATGAGTGCGTTGAATGTTGGAGCTATGTCAAACAAAAAGCCCGTATTATTCCAAAAGCTAAGAATGTTGCCTTCATTACCACAGTAGAAAAAAATTGGGCCTCCAGGCTTATACCATTGGTCTAAAAAATATTAGAACTCGCCGAAAAATTTGGACATGCCCTCGTAAACAAACCGCTGATTGAAAGTGAGAGAGGGGAAGGAGAAGTCGAAGTGCGAAATTTTTTGCTCATAAATACCAATTTTAGGAGGCCACGGTGGAGTCTCTTGACGTGAAGCCGATAGTAGCAGAAGGAAGTAAATGATTGCCCGCATTTCTGAAGGTGAAAAACGACATATAAGAAAATTCTGCTAATAAACTAAAACCTTGATGAGGCTGTTTAATGGTGATACAACATGCATCATTTCCAACGAGAGCATGGAGGATTTATGGCAAACACACGGTCTAATTTAGCATTTTAAAACAAAACCCCCGGGATTGACAACATTGCATCCACAACAATATCAAACGGTCTATGCAGCCGCATAGGCAGTATGCACAGAGGCGTTATCCATGCAATTGCACATTACTTTGTTTAAAGCGCACTGAGAACTAGGCAAACACATGTGTAAGGTTTTTATACACGGTTGGCAGATGCATGAGGCAAATTTCCCAGGAGCAAATCCAATTTGTAGCGTAAGAGTAGACATCGTAACCAAGAAAATTTGGAAAAAAAACGGACAACCTTTATACGCTAAAGGGAATGGAACCAAAAAATATTTAGAACTTAAGTTAAGTATGGAATTATAAAAGAGAATTATGGGAGGATATAAATGGTCGTAGACAAGTTGCATTAAAAATCAAGTGGTAAAATTATGTAGGGGAATAAAGAATTCAGTATGAAGGACAATGCAGGGAAAGGGAAGAACTACGCCAAAACAGAATTTTAAAAAGAGTAAGGTTCCAAGGGTATGTGATTTCAGATCTAAACATTTAAAACAAGATGTTGCAGATGAAGAGCTCAAGTGATTCAGTTAATCTGATATTTTGACATTATTATGTGGTTCTAGAATTACAGCCTTTAATCATAAAGTTTTTTTTTTATTTTAGCTAGTTGCTGAGTTTTTTAGTCTTTAAAGTGCATAAAAGCAGTCATTCAGAAGTATAGGTACCGAGTTGCCTATTACCACAAGACCGTCTTTTCTATTTAATGCTTTTATAATTCAATTTATAAATATACATCAAATATGCGTTCCATGTTTAACGACGTAAGTGGTTTTACTTAGCCGATAGACATCACGCGAAACACCATCAAGAGGGAGCAATCTACCTAATAATAGTTACAAGTAATTGCCTTTGCAGTGCAGCATTTTCAGTACATAAAAAGTAAAACAAGAAAATTGTAATTTTAGCCTCTTTTCTTGAAGCGATAGTTTACGTCACAATAATAATTGATAGGAAGAAACAGTTAAATATGATTTAATTATTCGAAGCTTAAAAACGTCGTATTACTTGCTTAAATCGTATTTGATTGTTTTTTTTTCTAATAAGTATTCTTTGATTTTTGTGCAGATTTATTTAAAAATATCATATGATGTAAGGGTCGATATAATAAATCAAAACGATTGGGGTCAACGTTCATTCCAAATGTTTCTGCTTATGGTATGTTTTTACTACCGCAAATGAATGAAACTGTATTCACAAATTTTAATACATTATGAGTGACAAAGATTATTAATTTATGCCTAGAAAAACGAATGCGCTCTCACAATGTGTACTGGGTTTTTAGTCAATGTATACAGTTGCATAATAAAACTTGATATTTTGAAAATTTACATAAGATATACATAAAAACCATGAACAGGTTTTACTAGGATATTTAACTTCCCAGTTAATTTTCGCATAATATGAAGAAATTTGCCCTTTAATAATGTTATACAGCAGTATTACAAGCATATTTTGTTGTCTTTTGCTGTCAACTTCCCCACCAATCTAGTCGCAAACGTGTGACAAAATTTTAAAACCTGCATCTTGTTGAGTACCTGAGGCCTACTATAATAAATGTATGTACTTCAGGACAGGCTGCATTGCAATGTAACAAAATGCAGCCCCCCACCCAAGTCCTTCATACTGACTGCACCGCCCAACATTTGGTGCCTCTTCCTCATGGTCCATAAAATCAACATAGACGAGTTGGTGGTCAGGCTTATGGGGCGACCAAATATGGTCGACCTCTCTACCTTCATTATGGGCTTAACTATCTGGAACTATTTTCAGTTAATTTTGGGTTTGGATTTTTCGTCGAGACATAAAAAGTTAATGTAAACCCTTGCAGTTCTGCTAGTGGTGGCACATGACTTGATTATTAGCTGTTATCAATTACAGACAGGCACTATTTTATCCTGGAATTAACAGGTTCATGTCATACAACCACATAATGCACTTTCACAACCACACGCATTAAAAAATAAAACTGACGTATAATCGTCTCTTGGTAAATACATTTACTGAGTCTTCTCGCTCAACTAAGGCAAGTGTTAAATTAGTGCTGAAATACGTCAATTCATTAAATGGACAAATTGGCACATCATTGTCATTCCCTGTTACAATCCTGTACTAGGTAATCCTTTGATCCATTTTTTATGTCGACCAACTAGTCACTGTTTCACGCGCCCATTTGATTTAACGAAGGCTTTCTTGACCTTTTTTTATTCTCAACGCTTGTTGCTATCCATGCGATCTGCCGGCACACACCTACAATCCACAAATTCAAACAAAATTCAATACCGATTAGCAGCACACAGCTTCTGGGCCATTAATACCTCAGCCTGGCGTCATCGTCGTTACGTTGCAACCAGGAAGTTGGAAGAAGTTGATGATTGCTACGACATTATTCACTGTTCCACACAATTTGCACCAAATTTTGTCGCGTGTGTTGTTAGATCAGAACTTTTTGAAGTTGAAATTTAAAGTGCACATAATTTACGCTGAAGTCAATGGATGCAATTCAGCTATCTTGTATCAAACAATTGACAAGCACAAACATGAACTTGTTTTATTTTAACACGTTGGACGCCGTGTATCTCTTGGGCATTATAGGATCTTATTTATGGAAAATATTCAAAAGCTGTTAGATGAATTTAGAGAAATCCATTAATTCGGCCACAGAATTTGCAAATGTTTTGTGAGGCCCCAAGAGATAAGTGCGAGGGCTTTTCTACTGTGTGCCATTTTTACTGCCATGACCGGTCCCTGTTCTCTGTGTACAGCCACAGGGGACATCGCATCAAAGATGTCCCACACATAAACACACCCATTCCTACTCCCCGAAATAACTATCCGACCAGACGACGATACACCAATACCGGTGATCCCAGTTGTCGATGAGTCGTCAGAACCTGCTTGTTCGTCTCCTCCTCCGTCATCACCAGAAATGTTAGCAGGTGTACTAGTAAATTCAGTGGCATCATCACCCACTATGCTCCTGCCATCGACCCTGCAGTAGCTCGCCAAAGGGAAGTCCAAGCGAGCATCGTAGAGGTTAACTGTAGCATCGTCAGAGCCCGTGACAAAGGTTCGCTCATTACTAAGGCGTTCAATACATGTGATCTCTGATTCGTGACCGTACATAGCGCTGACAAGAGGTTGGGGTTTTCGTACATCCCACACGCGAGGAATACCGTCGGCAGCACCCGTTACAAAAGACTGGCCATCGGGAGAAGTCGGAAGTATTGAGGAAACATCCGTTGTGTGAGTGAATTTGCGTAGCACCTTGACGCTATTAATATCCCAAAGAACAACTCCATCCATGGACGCAGCAGTAAGAAGTTTGTGTCCTTGTAAATAGGTCACACAATTAATTCGGCCGCCATGCTCGAAAACAGCTGAAGAAACGTACTCTGAATAACCGTCTTCTGGAGACCTGGCTTGATGGGTAAAAGCTTCTACGTTGGCGTAGAGACCCCCGGCAAATACAACGTCCAGGTCTCGTGTGGTGTCCGCTGCGGTAGCTTGGTTCATTGTGATATCAATTATATTTCTAATCAATCCACTTCGAACATCCCAAATGCAAATGTAGTTATCCGCGCCGATCGAGATAAGATTATCATCGGACGGAGACCAGCAACATGCACGAATTCGACCGGTGTGGGCCCTCAGATTATGCGCTAAGGTAAGGCTCGGAATATTAGAAAGAATCCCAATCTCGGCAGAGTTAGCCGCATCCATGATGTTAAAGCCGCTAACAGCATCCCGTCGTGATGCATCCAAAGTAGCACGCAACTGCGTCACCTCTTGCAAAAGAGCCTCTTCCTTCTGTTTATTCATTGGACGATTTATATCCGGAATTTATCGATTGCAGCACGTGAAATTATAGACAAGCGCGTAAAGAAGCTCAGGGATTAGCGCGATACTCTTTACTTCCCAGGACCCAAGAGTCTTTATTAACCAGATAGACCACAAAATTATATAAACGATGAACACATAAGTTGTGGCCCAAAGCCATAATATTGAGCAAACGAAAATTGTATAAGTAGACTAGACCATCCACATAGATCAATGAGAAATAACTGTCGATAAATGCAAAATATAATTTTTCTTGCAAAATGTCATTCGAGTTGAAACTTAACTAAGTTCTTCGACAAACCGGAGGCACACTTCGGCCGCCACGTAGTCGGCAAGCGCGATGGCATTGACCAATAACATTGTCTCTCGTGGAGAACGCCCCGTAATCCATATCCTCCCGTTGCATCCAACGCAAATCTCAAAGGGAAACTTCTAAAAAGCCACATAATCTTAATTTGATGAAAATTGGAGAGTTACGAAAGCATAACTTTTTATACGTCCAATGGATAGCTACAATTTTCCTTGGAGCTTACTAATCACATAAAAAAATTGAATCAGGTGATTCAGTGATGAAGATCTGTTAGAATATGCTACGTTAAATAAATGTAAGGCTTATTGCAAGATGATTGCCTTGCCATATCAACACCCTGATTATATTTTTTGTACATTCAATACTAGACAATACTCTGTTTATCGACTTAAAAACAGACTGCATGCAAGATTGCAAGTTCCGTGGCTGGACGTAGTGCTGATTTCTACACTACCTGATAAAATGGGAACCTGACATTTGAAACATTGGTTAGATCTACTGATCAAAAGATTATTCGAAAACTCGAAAAAGGGAGAATCTGCTAACCTGACTCAACTTCTCCAGCAATGGAAAATCGGAAGTTTCGTTAAGACGGCGCACGAGTTCCAGTGAACAGCTGAGCATCACACCGCCAGTCACACCGCCGGCGTTCCCCACAGAGCCCGGTTCGTAACGGCCCAAAATTCCCATTCCATTGGCCTTTCCAGTTTCGTCCATGCATGTTAATTCAATCTCTAGGTCTAGAAATTTTAAGGTGATAAAACCAATTAGATTAAATTTAACGGTAAAAAAAAATAGACAGTATGGTTCTACGCTCACCGGTTCCTCAATGTCACTTTACGCAGTTTGCTGCAAATAACATTATTACAGTCTATACTTTCTGATTACAAACCACTGACCAGATTACATGTAGGAATCTCAATTTAGTCTCCAACTAAAACAGAAGGCATAATCAAGGGGCATAATATGAACGATTTACCCGGATCAGCCTGTGAGATAGCAGCATAAATTACATCCCTGATGCGGATATCGGGTCGATTTTTCTTAGAGGCGCCCTCAAACGACAGATAATTCAGTGAAGCAGATGAGTAACAACCGATGTCCAATTGATAAAGATCGCCAGACTTCTTTTTCACAACACCCAGGACTCGATCACCGACGGAAAACTGGGATGCGTGGAGCGCCTGAGGAGCGCCACCGAGTACGGGACTGGGTGAAACCATCAAAGGCAGAGAATCGACCCAAAGACGGTGTATCGGGGAAGGTGTATTTGGAGAGGACAGGGATGTGGCAGAGGCATGGTTTTTCGCGTCATGAGGAGACGCATAGCATAGAATTCCGAACTACATTAAATTGGAGAGTGGCGTGAGCAGCCGAAAAAAGCATAAGTAATAAACTTCCACGCCTCGCAAATCGACCATGAATAGGGACTTTTAAATCGTTAGGAAAGTGTCCTCGAACTTTGAAAGCGCCTACAGATTACGTGTTTACATATCAGGCTTGATATTGATTTCGGAAGATAACGAAGGCATCTCACAATGGTAGCATACGTGCATTACGCTCAGTAAAGAAAATGTCGTTATTACAGCGACATTAGCATCGGTGTTATGTGCAAATGGCCGAAAAAGCTGCCATGAATCCATTCAAATCTAGTAAGTTGTGAGCCACAACTTGATCAGTGGGATTCTGTTTCACTTTCAAATTGCTGTTTATTTGATTTTACCGATCCCAGGTAAAAATAAGCCTTTACGTATGCCTGATTAATAAACCTCTCAAAATGAATAGTTCTGCGGCTAAGGTCATCTTTTAAATAGTCGAACCAAAATCAGATCTATTTCGAAAAATACCCCAATTTAAGCTACGCAGACACACGTTTCAGTAAGGTAAAGAAATAAATTGATTTACAAAAAGGGTAAGCGCATAAAACACAAAGGCCTAACTACCACGAATTCTTCGTATTCCTTGTTTTAATATAGACACTGATTTCTTGGAAGTCTGAGTCTTAAAAATGACAAATTTTGTTCATAACACTTCACGAAAATGCACAACTCCACATATTCGTTAACACGTTTACCACTGGCCCAATCAATATCGCCTCACTACTACAGGCAGTACTGATTAAAAGCTGAATCTTAACATTCTAAATAACGATTGAAGAAGCATTTCAAGATCCTCGCAACTATGAGAAAAAAATCAACAAACACTAATAACTACTTCGTTGATATATGTTAGTCTATCAAGATTGGAAGAAGGTAAATCTGTAGTAAATCTAAGTCCATGGGTCTTAGGCACTGTGTTCATGTCATAATAACTACACACGCATATAACTGGATAAATTCCCTATCTAATTAAACCAGTCTTTATGTAGGTTTTACGTGGTTAGTACACTTGGAAAACCATGTTGGGAACAGCGACGCCTGACATACTGTTGACATAAGCAATGCAAAATAGGCCATTTCTCAAAAAATGACAGTTTGAGATCTTATTCCGAAAGATATTAAGGCATCGAGCCCCTGCGAAGAAGTAGATGCAGACGACTTAAACATGAGCACAGTCAAAACAGTGCATATTCGATTACTCTTGCCCACATTTTAATGGACGCCATGTATTGAACCTGACCTAATGACTAGACACGGCTTCGCGTATACGATTTCCTATTTAGTGGTGAAGCAAAAAACGTAAAATTCAACATCTAAATGCCTAAAAAGGTGGCGAAAATCTATCAGAAACATAGGTAGAAAATGGTTTTTGTCAGAGGATCCTTACTTTCCGGACTAGAATGTAAATAACATTGACAGATTCCTCAAGCGCCAAAGGAATCTGGATAACCCCAGAACCAAGAGACCAAGCCGCGGACATCCCATCAACAGAGGCGCTGATTACCAAGCCTGGTGAAACAATCTGGCCGATATGCCGAAAGAGATCCTCTGCTACACCCCGACGCATAAGCGAGCCAGGGCCCTTAGAGGACGCTATTCTTAACGGTTTGGCTTCATCCATTAGAACTACCTGCAAAAGAAGCATGGCGACTAAAATAGTGAATGAGTAGTCATGGTCATAAATGAAGTGGCAGACTTCCACGAAAGTTCAACATTTGGACATATAGCATGCCTGAAAATGCAAATGTTATACTGTGAGATGGACTTGAAAAAACACCGCACTGTAAACATTTACGTGGGCAGAGTACAGCCAATATATGAAGAACGTGAAATCGGACACTGGGGAACAGGGAAGAATATCAGTATTATAAAATGCTCATCGCCACTGACAAAGACAATTTAAAATAAGCTATTTGGGGCCCAATGTACTTATATTACATGTCAGATGAACAGAAATGACCACAAAATTTGGTTACATTTTTTTCAGGTTACGCATTATGAGCAGCATAAAATATTAAACATGGATTTCTAATAATTTTCGGTTAAATTTTCCAAGGTTTACTTGGTTTAAGATGTTAGTGAACAGGATTACATTCCGATTGAGAAAAGACAATTGGCGAGTCTGCGCTAAAAACCACACACAACATACAACAGTGAAACTATGTCAGCTTTCAAAATACTATATTGCAGTTGAATTGAAAAAATAGTTTGAACATGTTGAAAAGTGGGGACCTTGACCTAAATGCGCTATGAATTAGCCACGAAGAGGGTTTGGCCAAAAGTTATAATGGAAACAACACAGAAAATACTGTGAAAAAAATTAAGTTTGATTGAAATGCCTATGAAAACAAACAGCCAAACAATCTAAATGCACGACAAAATACGTCATTTTGAACATAAAATATGGCTTAACTTCAATATCGCTTCACCCCAACACCCCAACACGATTAGCAAAGGATAAGCATGAAATGAAGAAAAGACGCCTGGCGATCACGAAAAAGTCAACCTTAGTTAAGACATGCAAGCCTAAAGGCAATTAAGAATTGAAAAAAAAGAAAGAGGCAAGTCAGTTTCATCAAACTACATTACTAGATACTGGAGTTAACTACAGACTGGAGACATTGTGTGGTGTTGTGGTGTGGCGTCGGATTAGGGCGCAGGCATGTTGGAACACACTGGCTTCAGCCAATCTAGTGTCTCTCTGCGTTCTAATGGCATTCGAGGAAGATAAGCAGCCAACCAGAGAAGGACACGACTGAGGAGCACTCTATAATGGGCGGCGTGGCCAGCGTGGTGGACTCGGATGGAAGGCGCCTGACGCGTGGCTCTGGCTTCTGATTGGTCAGTAGAGCCTGTTCTGTTGTACCGGTCTTTTTCCTATTAGGGCTCGGGTATTCTAAATTGGTGTCGGCGGATGCGTTCGAATAACGCCAATCGAACCCCATCCCTTTCTTATCTATTGTCAACATAGGTAAAGGCCCTTAAATGCCAGCTGAATTTGTCATGGCGTTCATCCGATGTCCCATACACTGGATCAATAGACATTGCCCGGGATTAGGACTACTGCATCTGAAGAGGCATTGGCAACTCAGCGACGACGACTTGGACAGTGAAAGCCAGCTGAACTGCATCTGCGAAGGACCTTCAATGGATGATGAGTCTTTCCTGCATGTCTACAAGAGCCAAGTCCCTCGTCAACTATTCGCATGGGCCACTATCCTGCCAGATGTGGGGTGCGGGGAGTGTCGAACTGGACATTTTACCAACACTGGATATCAACGACAGTGCAAGGAACCAAGCCAGAAGCTAAGAACAGCTTCGCTCTTGATGGGGAGGCAGTGTGGCGACGTCTGTGGCCACAGATATATTGGACACTGGCTTCAGCCAATCTTCTGCCTCTCTGTGTTACACTGGCATGCGAGGAAGATAGGCAGCCAACCAGATACGGACACGAATAAGGTGCAGTATACAATGAGCGGCTTGGCCAGCGTGGTGGACTCGGATAAAAGGCGCCTGACATGTGGTTTTGGTTTGTGGTTTTTCAAAAAAGCCTGTTCTGTTAAACCAGTCTTCTTTATGCTAAGGCTCGAGCATTCCACTGTAGTTGCGTACAAGGGGCAGACATATTGAACCACCCAGAGCTTACCTTTGCATCTGCGTGCGTTAGAATGGCCTGAGATTGCGATCAGCAGCCACCTAGTAACAAGGAGGGATGAGGAGAACTATGTATTAGGCGGCCCAGCCAGTCTCGTGGACTCGGATGTACGGCGCCTGATGTACACCTTCGGCCTGTAATTGATTAAGTTGGCTTGTTCTCTTGTACCAGTTTGATTCATACTAAGGCTAAGTCAATCCTCTGTCTTTGTGCATTTTAGCATCCTAAGTTAAACATCAACAGCTCACTGGAGACATGGATAGAAGGAAAGCCCAGTAAAATGAAAGACGAAGCCAGTAAAGCGGACTTTGATCGAGGGTGACTGACGAACTTTCTCGCCCGTGGTTAATCAGCAATCCTTACTTTATTAATGTCCTTTTTATACTAAGGCACGATTATTCTACATTGGAGGCGTTTGAGTAAACAAAATCTAATCTCGGTCCTTAAAATACTCTACCATGAATAACAAAGACGAGGATCCATGAATGGCGGTTATGGTTTCATATCAGACCATCCGATGTTCCATTTAGACTGCAACATCGGTACAGATATAGGCAAGTCATCAAAAATGATGACAAGTTAGGACGGGCTTAGTCAATCTGTCTTTGTGTTCTAGAGTGGTCTACAAAAAGAAAAACTCTAAACAATAGGCCAATATATGTGATATAAATTGGCAACACATGACGTGTCGCACTTGCCTGCGGTATGTTGACAAACCTTGCTCGATTGTTCCAATCATTTGGCCTATCTATAGGCCAGTGAGAACAAATTCATAAAATACATGTTCCGAGTTTAGATGCCGATACGTTTAATTTCGGAAAATATTTTTGACGGTAGTTTGTTATGGTGCAGTGGCATAATTCATGTAATTTATTTGGTCACAATTAGAAAAATGCCGAAAAGTGCTAACACCATGCCCATGAAATTGCTATTTTGATTGAAAACTTCAAGAATAATTTTGACTTATCAGAATTCGATTGCGCTTCAATAGTAATTTTACATTACAAAACACCATGCTAGCGAAAATGGCTCCAGTAATTGTTAAATAAGTTGTTGGTTGTTAGTAGTTTTGATTAGGACATGTTTTTGTCGATTGATTTCTTCCTAGAGAACTGTTTAAAAACAGCGGTGAAATTCAAAATCAGGATGTTTTTTTCATCTCTAAGTGGCTGCAAATAATAACAACATTAAGAGTGAATGTACAGAACAAAAATAAGGATTTTCTTGCTCTCAAATCTTCCTGCATTTATATAAATGTACCGCCTAGTCTGCATTATAGTGAGCGGTGTTGATATCCATTTAAACAGGTTATTTGGCATAGTTTCGAATTTAGAATGCATTGTTATGACAGTAGTGACTTGGGAAGATATTAGATTGCTTTTTTTGCCATTATTCTCTTGCCCTTGATTTCTCGTTTTTACGCCCCTCGATGCGGTGCGGGACATTTAACTGGATACTCACGGCCTTTCCATAGCTTCGACGAGTGGTACCGCGGTTGATTTTGTTGTCTTTTCATAATCTTGTCCCTGTTTATTATGCATTTTTTTTCTTTTTGGCGTTTTTTTACTCTTAGAGCTTGGTCTTTTGAAAATAAGGTTTATTTACCTTCGTCGTTTTTGTTCCCGAACTTCTTGAGGTGCTGTTAGATGTATAATGATAATAGTTGAGGTAATTTCATGCGCCCTATTAATTCTTGTGCATCTGTAGGCTTGTACTAGTTTCGAGTTAGACCTTTTTGACCAGGAAATGGTTGGTGAGAGAGCAATATTTTTTCTATGTTGGAGTGCAAATTACTCTGTGACCATGAATCACTCATTAACTTGGTTTTCTTATCATACTGCTATTGAATTGTTTTGTAATATTTATTGTAATGGAACTCTTTTTTATATTCCTATTCCAATAAACATTATTTCACGTGTCTTGATAGCTTTTTTTATTCATTTTAGATGGATGACATATTTGGTGTTGAGTTGGATTCGTTGACATCTGCATTCGATTCTCCCGAAAAGCCGAAAAACTATGGTGTAATGTAAGTGACGTATTTTATTCTTTTTTTTCTGCTTAGGTCTTCCACAACGTCTTTGAAGCGTCCGATCGCTCCGGTTCCAAATTCCTTCGAAATCCCGAAGGCACGGAAATCAAAATTCAAATTTCCGAAAATGAAAACAGTCTCCATTCCTACTGAAGAGGGGTGCTTACATGAGGTAGTGCTTCCTCCAGGCTTAGACCACTTCAAGTCCCTATCCCCCGTGTCTCAGACCCCAGCTAAAACTTACCCTTTCAAACTGGACCCGTTTCAGCGTCAGGCAGTCTTGTGTATCGATAACGACCAGTCGGTTCTCGTCTCTGCACACACATCTGCTGGTAAAACCGTAGTCGCGGAATATGCGATTGCTCTAAGTTTTAAAAATAAGCAACGGGTCATTTACACAACACCGATCAAGGCTTTGAGCAATCAAAAATTCCTTGAATTTTCAGCAGAATTTAAAGAAGTGGGTTTGATGACTGGTGATATTACCATCAATCCAGAAGCAACGCTTCTCATCATGACCACCGAAATTCTCCGGTCGATGCTTTATCGGTAAACCTCTTTTTTTAATTGTCTATGATTTTATAATCCTAAACTAATTTAATCTAATTTTGCCGTGATTATGCGAAATATCATGTCGTTCTTGATTTTACCAAGCTGATAATTATTTTTTGTGCATTGCATGTAAATCAAATATCACTAATCAATCAAACAGTTGTCTTATTCTGTATTCTTGACTTTTTGTCTTTTGTCTGGAATGTCTTTTTTCACTTTCTGATTCTCTTGTTTTCTTTCTCTGGTCCTTTTATGGACCGCGTACAGTTCTTTATACTCACCCGTATATGTAAAGCTAATTCGTACTATCCATCGAGCTTTTGTCTTTGGTCGCTTTTAAAAACTGTACCACCTTAAATATTAGGAGTTGTAATTAGGAAAGTGGTGATTTTGCTTGTGGTCACTTGTTTATTTTAAACTGTTTCTATTTCCCATATTTCAGACTTTTGGCAAGTTTGCGTTCGCTTGACATTATTCTGTTCAAAATACCGTCTCTTGTTTTTCAGGGGTTCCGAGGTTACGAGGGAGTTAGGCTGGGTTATTTTTGATGAAATCCACTACATGCGGGAGAAGGAACGAGGTGTGGTTTGGGAAGAGTCAATAATCCTCCTGCCTGACAGCGTTAAGCAAGTCTTCCTCAGTGCCACCATACCGAACGCTAGGCAATTCGCCGAATGGGTTGTATTCCTGCATAAAAAACCCTGTCATGTTATCTACACTGACTACCGCCCGACACCTCTCCAACACTACGTTTTTCCTTGTGGCGGGGATGGCATTTTCTTGGTTGTCAATCAGCAGGTATGACCCGGGTCGTTCAACGCATGGTGCTACTTATACTTTTGCAAAAAAAATTCGTGTTCCTTGACTAGCGAATATAAGTGTATATGTATATATATATGAACCTACGTAATCACCTGAACTCAATACCTGCTGTGATAACTAATAATTTAGGCTCAAGCTGCACAGTTCTCCTTCCCGCAACATAATTATAATGTGTTACCTATTGAAATTCCAAGAAATGGAGCATGAGCATAATAAGTCATAAAGTTTTTTTAATAAGTGGTTCGGTTAAAATCCTTTGCTATGAATTGGTCGTCATTGTTGTTGTTTCATTGGCTGATTTCTGACACTAACCACAGACTAAGACTTAATTCTTTCATTCTCACGTTCATGTGTCTATGTAAACCATACAGGAGAGCTTCGAAAATGGAACATAGTATTCTGTATATTAAAGGCTGGTTGGTAGACATTTTGTTCATCAGAAAAATTCTGGCATGCCTGTCACCGCCTAGGCAATCCCCCTCTCTTTCAGCGTGAATTTCTTGAGGCTAACTTCAACACTGCCCTAGACGTGGTTCGGGGAGCTGCTGGAAAGGCCAAGGCTGACACAACGATGCGCGGTCGCAAGGGTGGCTGCATCAGGTCAACACCTTACTGCTACAAACTCGTTAAACTCGTCATGGACCAACATCTTGAACCTCTTATAGTCTTCTCCTTCAGTAAAAGGGATTGTGAGTATTATGCCTCTCAGCTGTCCAAAATGGATTTAAATGAAGGTAGGTTCTACTTTGTGGAAAGGCAACTGGCCACTTTCGACGCATCGCGCGTATCATTATTTTTTCAAACTTGAATCTTAGGTGACCCGAGTTATAACTCGAAGAAATCTTTGAGACGATTCAATTGAGCCAGTTGATTAGAAATAGCATTTTTCAGGTCTGTGCAATTGAGATGGTTCGTAGCGTGAGGACCTTCTTTTGATCTTTGCAATCCTGATGACCACATTTTCTTGAATGTTTGTCCTTGGGGTTGATTTTTTTGTATTTAAATGGCATATCCCTTCTCTTTTTTAATTTTATTTTTAGTTTTTAAATTTTTTGCATCTCCTGTGTGACAGTTATTAACTTTTTGCTCCTCATCTGAATGCATCCAAAAACGTGAATTTGAATTTTATAATATTTTCTGCATAAATGAAGCGAATTAATTTTGCTTCTGTGTATTACGTTGGCGTTGCTTTCCATATTCAGTTCTCGTACCGGTTCACCAACTCTTTTATTAACAGACTCAACCTTAGAAAGTTCGCACTCCCCTTTGCTTAGCTCAAGACAAGGCCGCCGTTGACCTCATATTCAACAACGCAATCGATTCCCTCTCACCAGAGGATCAAAAACTCCCGCAGGTTCTCTGCATGCTTCCGATGTTACGACGAGGTGTTGGTATACACCACGGCGGTCTGTTGCCCATTCTCAAGGAACTCGTCGAAATCCTCTTTGCCGAAGGCTACATTAAGGCATGCAGTTAATGTTAAATTTTAGCGAAATCGTTCATTGCCGCCGTTGTTGTTTACCTTCCACCTATTATAAACGTATTTTGTGAACCAAGAGGGGTCAAGTTCGTGTCATGCGGCAATCTAATCCAAAGTAACTGGAACTAACCGTTGTAGGACTTATTCATAAAATGTTCTTTTGCTCATTAAAGTATCCGTACTCCCATATAGAGGTCTTGCAATACCTATGTTTATGTTATTGGTCATTTTAATCCTTTTTCCACGTAAGTATTACCAGTTACGTTGGGATTACGGTGCTGCTGGTGTTTGTTTATTTATCGATCAAGTGTTATTGGCTGGATTCTTGTTAAAGATAAGCTATAAAAATGTGTTCTTTGTACGATACGCGCATGCTACTCAATGAGTCAACGTAGGTTAAAGTTCAGTTCATTGTGTGACCCTGGGCTTCATAATACTCCCTATTTTTGATGCTAACGCTCAAGACTACTGATAATTTGTGCACACAATTGCGTTGAAGCAACGATAAATTAATGGCTAGATAACTCATTTTTCATTGCCGACTGAGTGCATATCTAGGGCAGACCTGTTTGATAGAATTACATGCATCTCCTGACCTGTTTGTCACATAACTTTTGTTTTAAGGTCCTCTTCGCAACTGAAACCTTCGCCATGGGCCTTAACATGCCGGCGCGCACGGTGCTCTTCACGGCAACCCGAAAGTTTGACGGGCAGGACTTTCGCCACATCTCCTCAGGCGAGTACATCCAGATGTCGGGGCGAGCCGGTCGCCGAGGCAAAGACGAGAGGGGCACTGTCATCCTCATGATTGACGACACCGTCACTCCCGATGCCGCCAAGCAACTGCTTCTTGGCTCCCCTGATCCGCTCAACTCTGCCTTTACGTTGTCTTACAATATGGTGCTCAATCTGCTCATTGTGGAGGATATTAATCCGCAAATTATGCTTGCCAAGAGCTTCTTTCAATTCCAAAACTATGCATCTATTCCTGCCTTAGAAGAAAGTAAGTTTTATGCTCAAGACTCAACCAAGGCGTACTTTTCATTGGCCGATATTTTGTTCAAAGAAACACCTTTACCTTTAATTAATTTTCGGTAAAATTTGCGGGAAGTCATTCTGAGATATAAAGTGGTATTTTCAAACGATTTATGTATCCGTATAGTCTCATTTTAGTGAATCCCTTCTAAAATGTTGTGTAAGCTGATTTCTTCGTAAATAAAGTGACCTTGTCGGTAACATCGACTTGAAACCCTAATCTGCATGATTTATATGCAGGATGTTAATCTATTTTGCATTGCCCATGAAATCATCTTAGGTATTTCATCCAGTGCCTTTTTGCCACTGTGTTGTGTTAATTTCGCAATGAAAGTACTGATCATTTTTAGAGATAGCGCGCCTGGAATCGGAATTCAAAAGCATCAATCTCCCTGATGGTATCGACGTGGAACAGCTCTCAAGCATAGTCCAGTTAAGAAAAAGTGTTGAAGACCTGCATCGGGAAAAGTGGCAGCTATCAATGAAATTCAAGCATGTCGCTCCTTTTATGCAACCTGGTCGACTTTTGAGGGTGAGTCTGTGCACGGGTCTTTCGTCTTTACTTTTTTTGCATTTGTAACAGTTTTATGCTTAAATTATCATGTTCTGTATTGAGGGAATCTTGTTCCAATCACCGAGGCTGGAAAAAATGCGACATCACCTCTCTGTCCAGGCGAATTTTGGCGTTTTTCATTTATTATTTATCTTCTCTAAAATGCTTTATTTTTTGTCTTAAAGAGTCTGATGGTTAAGTGCTAGTAAGCCACTGCTCCTACTCTTAGCCCATTTTCGCGTTTTTAGTACTGACCTTCACTTCTCTTTTGCCCTCTAAAGTTTATAGTCATGGAAACACCTCAATATTAGCTGAAACCTGTTTAAACAATTTACAATGGATTTTATTTTGAAGCCCGATGGCTAAGTAATATCTCTTTCCAATAGATTGAAAATGATGATGGCGTCGACTACGGATGGGTTGTCGTGCTGAACCTTCGCCGCTCCAAACAACACGGCACCCAAGGCTCCGAAACCCCCCTCATCGACGTTCTTGTTCGTGTTACCGCGGCGAACCTACGTGACGCCGAAAATCCTGTCATCCACCCGACACCCCTCCTCTTTACTGTCTTTCAACCATATTGCAATGATATTGAAATGATCCCAGAGGAGGAAGACGTGAAACCTCCCAAAGTCTCAAAGGACGTTCCTGTCATGTCTGTCGCCACGATTGCCAGTGTGCCTCTAACTTGCGTGCGAGACATATCCTCCGTCTGTCTTAATTTCACCTCTCTCGATGGAGCAAACACCAAGCAACCACTGGCACTCATTGGGAAGATAGCAAAGCTTTCGCCACCAATGCGACTTAACTTCTGGGAGGGTATCAGTCGAGCCACGGCAAAGCTGGGTGGATCTCTTCCATTGCTTCACCCTGTAGATGATTTAGGTGTGAAAGATGCTCGCCTGGTGAAATGTCTGGAGGTTTGTGTGCCGATATTTCGCGATACGTGTTCCTGATTATTTTGTTGATTGCTTCCCACCACTGCCATCTTGTATGCTTGTGCATCAACTTCGGTGCTTCACTTCCCATAATTTATCGACACTGCAAGCACGTGATTTTTGCTGGATGTGTAGAAAAAGCGTGCTTTCGGAATTTGCTTTGTCTTTTGGCCAGATTGGTTCTTAACGTACAAGACGCCTTTTTAGAACAATCAATTTTAAGTTGCTTGGCCTCTATGTGCTTGTCTTATCTAAGAGGCAATATTTTTATTCTACAAGTCAGTTAGTTTCGACTTGTGTTTTCCGACCTCCGGCCGCTCACATTCGATTCTTTAGTCGGTTGCTAGATTTTTGAATTAAATACTCTTGAGAACGTACAGTATGATTAGGGGTTGAATTATGTTAGACTCCGATTTTGTCATTCCATTGACGATTTAAAGCTTCAAGTCGCCTTCTATTTCCCTATTTTTCTTTCTGCTCCAAATCTAGAACATTCACTTGATGGAAGCAAGGCTGAAGCTCAACCCCCTGGCTGACCGCGAGGACCTGGAATATCTTATTCATACCCATGGCAAACGAGCCGAGGTTCGTTGGTCATGTTGTTTTTTAAACGATCGTTTGTGGCAAATGCAGGGTGCTTTTTTTTTCATCTGACTGCGGTCCACATCTTTTCCTTGTTCGGGTTCGTAGAAATATCTGGAGTTGCGCGCTGCCCACGATGAGTTGAAACGCAAAGAGTCTCTTCTGCAGCTTGATGAACTTCATTCGCGCAAACGCGTTCTTCGTCGCCTCGGATTTTGTACCGAGGACGATGTTATTCACCTGAAGGGTCGAATCGCCTGCGAAATCTCTACGGGTGATGAACTTGTGCTAACTGAACTGCTTTTGGATGGTTTCTTCAGGTCTGCAGCATTTCTTTAACTCGATGTCCTTTCTGATGAGGCGTTGTCATTCAAATTCACTTAGTTGCTTTCTTTCTTTCTTTGGGATCCTAATAGAGGTTGTTTTGTGGTGTCCTGTTGGAGAGTTCGATTTTGAAATTTTCTATTCCACTAAATTGGAATAAATGGACAAACCACTGATTACGTCGATGCACTAGATTTGATTTACTCGTTTCGCGATCCATGACGGGCAGCTTTTCAGGAGCTCCATTTCCTGATTCGAGGGGTGAAACTAACTTCTGGCTTTTTGAACTTTAGTGTGCTGTCTTGCATTCTCACCAAATAATAAGGAATCCTATGGCAAGAGCTCACTGCCTATTATAGGGGCTACTTCCACTCTGTGTTTTTCCTCACTAGTCTATTGAATTCTCCTAGGTGCTATTTTTCAATTATCTGTGCATTTCTGATTGCAGTGACCTCTCTCCCGAGCAGATAGCAGGGGTTCTGTCTTGTTTTGTCGCGGAGAAAAGCAGTAGTAAGGAACCGCCGAAACTTCAGCCCGACATGGAAAGTGCTCTCAAAACCATTCGTGTATGTAATCGCCATCAATTTCCTTTTTCACCCGTGCCTCATCTCCCAGTTGCATCCACTTCACTATTTTCTGATTCAGTCAAAAGCACGTTACCTGGCCACGGTTGCACAGGAGAGTCGCGTGAACGCTGGCCCAGTGGGTGCAATTGCCAAGGCCTCAAATAAAGGTGACAGTAACATCTTCGCCGAAGGGGGTCGCAGCGCCATTGACGACTATGTGGCAAAGTTCGCTGGCGACATGATGGATGTGGTTCGCTCGTGGGCTCAAGGCGTCTCGTTCGCTCAGTTGTGCCAAATGACCCCGTTGTTTGAGGGGAGCGTGATTCGATGCATGAGACGACTCGAGGAACTCCTCAGACAAATGCACAATGCCGTCAAGGTAGCTGGAAACGCTGAGTTGGAGAACAAATTTCTGAAGGGTGAGCCCATGCCACTTTTGATTTGGGTACCTGTCACTTTGTAGGTATATTTCGGCTTATAATCATAAGTACCAAGTTCTCTTATCGGAATTTACTTAGGTGTTCTAAATTCTCAGTTGCCCAACTCATCTTTATCTATAAACTTTCAGTACGCTGGAATGTAGTTCCCCAGTTTGTCGTCGCTCACTTTTTTTGTTTCCTCAGTTTGCTCACAGTATTATGCTGGTCAAGTAGAATTTTCAATTAGGAAGCCATTGTGCGGACCGTTTTGCAAGTATGCTACAACTTAATCAAATGGTGTCAATGTCGCATTGATGCAATTACTTGAACAGTAGCACAAACGAATGACGTACATGCAGTCAGTCAAATCAGTCTTGTCCCTTACCATTGTTGTTCCCTCTCTTTTTCCATTTTAGCCATGCTTCTGATCAAACGAGACATCATATTTGCTGCCAGCCTCTACCTTTGAATTTCAATTCTATCCTATTTATTCCCTGTATAATTTGTAAATTTACATCAATAATCATAACGTCCTCCATCTTGTTGTATTTTCCTGATCATTTTACTGTAGGCAGGTGACTTATTAATTCGGTGACTTGCTAGCAACTTACAGCCCCTGTCGTCTGTATTGTTCTTGCTTTAAGTATAGTGAGAATGTCGCTGATTGGGCTGGGGGTCGTGCTCTGTGCGGCGAGCTCGGTACCGGGGCGCCTGAAGCCGCCGACGTCCACCGGAGTTTAGGTGAGAGCTGAGTCGACTGGCTGCTGTCCAACGATGAGGCTAGCACAATGAAGCTGTAGAGGCAATTTATGCTTGGTAATCAACTGATAACTCACTAACTTGAACGAATGTGTCACTTAGCACATTTGTTTTGAGCGATGTTTGCGCCCTTAAGTGATTCCTCGGTGTACCCTGGTTACGATAGAGCCGGATGTTCTGTGTACACGATAAAACTTGGACCTTCTGTAAGTGGACTTAGTATAAATGCAAACCACCATCTGCCGTCTAATCGTGTCGGAGGAGCTCGTAGCCTTGTCGAGGGTGCGCCTGTCATGCTCTACAAGATCGGGAGCATCGTAATAGTGCGGATGTATGATTCCTCTTGATAAACTTTTGGAAGATGTGGCCTCTTTCGATCGTTCACCCAAAACGGTTATGATTTTGGAGATGGGGTTTCTAGGTTTATGTTTATCAGTGCACTCATTTGCCTTTCAAGGATATGAGCACTGTTATACTTTAAGGATTCGGCCCCCATGTATTGACTGTGATTGTGTAACCGTCTTCTGTTCCAATAAATAAACTGGCCTTTTTATTCAACTCGATTAAACCTTAGCATATGTTTAAAGGATTTGAAGACAGAGCGAAACCTCCTTGGCTGTAAATCGGTTTCATGCTCTTGAACACACTTTCCCCCAAGGTAAATAGGGCGACAGGTGAGGAGTAAGCCAGTTGTAATCTTTCAGTATTAACCTTGAGTCCATGAATTCCTTAGTAAGTAGCACTGGGGTTTGCTGTGAGTTGAGGTGTGGATCTAAGCGCAGTTGAGCAGAAACTATTGACATGGTGTCGAATAACAGATTGGTGTTCTTTTAACAATTTCAGTGTGATGGGTTGACTATACACAGCTGCACTTTGAGAAAACTGGGGAAGGTGGTAAATTTACATAATTTAGTTTTTTTCTGGTTTGGGAAATTTCAGCTCAAATTCAGACAGTAGAAAAGTTAAGTGGCTTAAGAATAGTTTGCTTTATTAGGTTTACGTATTTTATTTAACGAGTAAATGCAAAGAGTTGTTACTCACGGTCTTAGAATATTGAAATTTTCCTTCACACGTTGCTATAAATGTATGTGATAGTGACGATGATCTCAAGATGTGAATTGTTGAAAAGATTGTTTAAGCTTTTGAGTATGCACGGGAAGAGATAAAGCGGACAGCAAAATCTATAGTGCTGCAACAATGTATTAGGTTATGACTTAATTTGTACGGAGTCATTCTTCGAGCTTAAAGTTATGTTTGAAATATAAATATTTCAGACGTCTGTCATGGTTTTGAATGAAATGGAGACGAGGTTTCAGAGCACTGAACAACAAGCCTACGGAAGTTGCATAAACTCATAGAATAGCAAAAAGGACAAATGCTTCGAAAGAATGGAAAGTGGAGATTTCGATCCTAGTGAGCAACCGTGCTTCGGATAGCCTCGAAAGCTGGATTGGAAGAAGATTCAGTGCGGATGCAATAAGAGCTTGCAGCTAAGTTAGGAGTCACCCAATCAGTTCTTTTAAAGCGTGTGAACCAAACAGAAAATATTTCTAAACTTGGAAGTTGGGTCGCAAATGTGCTGATTGAACACAACCTAGGTCAACGTATTAATCGTGCCAGTCACTGCCTGCTCACTGGCAACAAAATTAACTTCTTGTGAAAAATTGTGATGGATGATGAAATGCATATTTTGTAGAATCGTCGGCAGATCCCGGGCAAGCCATTACATTGACCCCGAAACAAGATATCCATTCGATAAATGATTCTTCTGTGTATCTGTTCAAACTTAAACTTCTGGAAACTGGTCAGACGGTGACTGCGAAACACTTCAACCCAAAATTGAGGAAACTGAGTGGAGAACTTGATTAGAAAAGGCCATTTACTGGGCAAGGAAGTGGGCAAATCATACTGCTGTGTGACAACGCTCGACCTCACGTTGCTTGCGCAACTCGGAAGACCCTCTTGAATTTGTGGTGGACAGTTCTCCCACACAAAGTATATTCATTAGACTAGTCTCCATTCGACCAAAATTTGTTTCGACTAATACAGCACATCTAAGAGGATAAACAATTCAAAACGTTTGACGATGGGCGTAAATTCGTTGATGATTTTATTGCCTCGAAGCCTGCAGGTTTATTCTCGACGGCAAGAGTAAGTTACCCGAGACATGATGCAGGGTCATAGAAAATAGTGGACAATATTTCCAAGATTAAGTTTGTGGTTATTTATCTTTACATGTTAAAAAATTTGCAGAAAGGTCTGCACGAACGAAGTCTGGACACGAGGGCAAGGGTATTTGTAAATGCCAAGAGTACGGACGATATGCGTCTTTATATGTTAACCAGTAACACAAACATTCAGAACAGGAGTGCTTAAATCTGCTGTCTCAGGGAAGCCTCATCTCCCCAGTTCAAATAACGTCTGGACCTCGTGCCTGTAAATCATGCAATCTCCCATCCGTTGGCAAGTATAAACCGAAAAAGTGCTCTGAGTTTTGTATGACTTAAGTAAGATTGAAAGCAGGGGATAAATTACGGATAGGCTATTCTTGTTTATCTACCATTTGAAGACTACGGTTTCTGGAATTATGACTTCTCAAACTGATTTCAGGCAGATTTAAAATTGTGGTACTCTTCCCTAAAATAGTAGATGATAAATTTTAGTTCTATGACTACAGTTTCATGGCAAAAACAAATTTCGAAGTCCACCAGAATGGCCAAAATATACTGTGATGGCATCAGATTGGCACTAAGCCAGCCTCGGATTATTTTTGGTATTGAAGCTTTGTACAGTACGTTTTAAAACTAGCGTATTGTCGTAGTTTTGGGTGCTAGGCTACCTAATTTAAACCAGTTTTTACGGAAATCAATTTTCGTGTAAATATTACCCAATAAAATTTTTGTTTGAGATATTCTCATGCACTGCCACGCCGGATTAAGATTAAAATTCTATTTTGGTGCTTCTGCCAATCATTAACATCGTGAAAAGCTAAAAACATATGAAACGTTGTGTGTAGGTGAATTGGTAGTTATAATATGCTACATTAAGAGCCAATTGTTGGATGATTTTCAATAAATACTTGTATGGCAGTAGGTAGGCCGCGCGAATCGCCCTTTAGGGATAATGAGTCATTTTGCGCGTGTGAGTATTGTGTTGCAAAACCTATGGTATTTGAATATTACGACATGTGTGGGTTGCTTTTTTGTCGGGTATTTAATGTGTCTGCACAACAAATCTGGTTTTGACCTGCACAGATAGTTCATTGGGCTGTTTTAAGTTTTAACCATAGCGTTTCTTCCAGTCACAACTGTTGACCTGAACGTCCATTGGTATGTGCGCTCGATTTTCATCGAAATGTCATGGAGTGCGGTGTAATGTGTTAACTATCGAACATGCTGTCAACGACCTCTTGCAAACCTCATGATATGGTGCTATATCTATTTTCATTTGCAAAAACAATCAAAACTCTGCCTAATTCCATTTTCTGAGTCCTTCATTTTACCTCAACGTTAAGTTTTTCTCACGATGGCCTTTAACACTATTTCTAAGGCTTAGTTGCTACTTTAACCTGAAAAATAGTCACTGCTCATTGCTTATGTTAAAGATGTCGATTCCCACTAGTCGGTTTAATTCGGTTTTTTATTTCTTCATTGTTGCATTTCCCTTTAAATTATGCAATTCATGTAAATTGTTTTAAGCGTACTAATCTTCGTTTTAACGTCTGGTTTTGGTTGTAAACACTACTTTTTTTAGCCTAAAATGAGCTTTACATCTCAGAACAAGAGTGATATCTCATCTTCCTCCATGTTATCTTCCTCAATTCTCCGACCGTCAGTGTTATCAAATAAGCTGCCATCAGTTAACGTGGATGTGACTACACCTTTCCAGTCAACCACCAAACTGGAGAAACCCCTTGTGGATCCACCAACCTTTAAACCCGCTGGTCCCGCTTCCACTTCAACTAGACTTACCAGTGCTCCGGGTTATGTCTTTGGACAAAACATGAGTTCTCGTGTCGTGAATGCACCTCAAGGGGCTTCAGAAAATATCTGGCAAGCAGTTAAATCGGGTGCTTGTGACACAGAGTACGTAATTACAATTAATTACAATTACAAGTACGTAATTATAACCTAACTAATGCGAAATTCAGTTAAATCGTTTGCATCGCCTTTTGGGAAAATTCGAAGTTTCGGTATTTTGGCACACTGGTGGCCTTTATTTTATGTGATTATATCTTGTTATTTTTCCTAATTCTCTTAAGGGCCCGCTTTCTCATCAATTAGTATTGTATTGTACCAATCTGTGTTTTTTAATGAATAAATAGCTGTTAAAGTGCAGTTATTTTATGAAACCTGGTGTTCAATTAGGTGCAGATAAAACCCATCAAATTGTGTTTTCAACCTGAATTTCGAGTCATTGATAGAACTACGAATGTAAGTAATCATAATACACACATCATACAAAATCAACTCTAAGCTTTAATGTCATAGTTAAGTGGGCAAACCACTCTAATTTTAAACCACATGTTTTGTGAATTGATAAATTTTCAATTCCTTTTCTCTTGTGCTTGTGAAAGATTCTGCTTTGTAGTTTAAGAGGCCTTCAATTTTAGACTTGAGTCAGGTTATTTAAGGACACTTACCTTCGCTCTATTCACCGAAACGCTGTTTGTAAATGAACCACCCTCACTTAACCATAAGATCGGGCTGGCATGTATTGACCCTTAAATTAAAAACAAAGTAAATAAGCGTTTCAGTGTTTGCTCATGAGGTGCCCCGTTTTAATGAACTCATGCACTATAAAGTCACCTGCGTTTCATGCATATGTAACTTTTATGCGTTGGTTTTGGGGGGGCTTTAGAGGAATGTATTCAGTTTCTTTCCTCTGACTTCAAAGTTTTTTCCAATCATTGACTCCTTAATGTTGGATGTCACCAATTAACGAAAATTCACGGATTTATATGCTTAAATTAGTCATGAAATGTGTGCATTAAACCGATGAACCATAAATTTTAAGACATGAGCACAGTGAAGGAATGATGGAACCACTAGTTTCTTTTATTGCTCCTTGTCATACAGTGTCAATTTTACCATGTTTATATCCACTCTGCAACAACATAGCCCATAATCTCAGTACAAGGTTCGAACACCGCTACTATCTCCGTTAGCCGTGCCCCGTACTAAAACGGTTCATAGTTCTTGATTTGTACTCTCCAAAGTTATCGTTTACTTATTACGTTGCTACCCGAAATCATTATGCTTAATTTGATAATATCGATTATTAGATTATATAGTATGGTACTTCCACACAGTCCTCAAAAGTTTCGATTTTCATATGAATTTCAGTTGAACTCAATGCACACGACCGGTGCTGGTAAATTAAAACCTAACGCTTACTTAGCTTATCTTTTAGGCTTGCGTCTGAAGGTTTTTGATTAAAGTTGTAGATTTTAATAACTCCCAACAGGTGTTTTTGTTTGAACAAACAGGTGTCTTTTGTAAAAAAATGACATTTTAAGAGCCGTTTTATGGCAACTTAGTATGATGTGTGCAGCACGACATTCGAAGTTGCAATTCTTAGTTTATAAAGGTCTAACATCACACATTAATGCCCAATTGTCAAAACGTGTTTTGTTTTCTGAAATAGCTCAAGCGCTGATTCATTGAGCGAGTGCTTGCATCGCTGCTGTGTGTGTGTGTGTGTGTGTCAGTTTTAGTAAAAAGGCTTACAGTTCACTCCCTACAGACAGCGTTTGACGTAGAGCCACTTTTAGGCGTGTATCCGCTTCCTTGTCAGTCTCCTCACATGGAGACGCCTGCTTTATCGTCACCACAAGTCGATTTTCAACATATCTAGCACACTTAGTTAAGACTTTTGTCTGCCTTCTGTGCGGTGCTTATTCCGAGGCATGTGTTTTCTTGTAAGTTGGCAAAAACTCAGGTTTGAGCCTCGGTGTTGCTGTTAAACTCCTATTTCAAGCATATTTATAGTGCAACTACTTTTACTCTGTCTAAAAACGTCAGCTTTCAGGTGAACATGTAACTCGATTAGGATCCAAAACTTTGCGCAACACTTTGTAGTATTTCGTCTCACCGAACCATCCAGCCGCTTTTTGTTCTCCCGTTCTTCAACGAACAGTTTGGCAATTTTGAATGCACAGCCAATAAAATGTGACAATTATATCCCCTGAATTTGCTTGATTTGATGATTAAGGGGTTAAGAGTTTTTTTCCAACCGGATGATGCTAAGTGATTTATTTTGTTTTGAAATTGCAGGCTGTGCTCCTTTTTGGGTCCCGACAGAGCTGTAAAAAATAAGTTTATTGTTGACACTGTCGTGTAATTCGTTCTCTTAATCACGAAAATATTTTTACAGCACTGCATTATTTAAGTGTTTGTGTGTGGTTACTAACCGTTTAGCAATAACCAAGACAACACGGGCGATTCTGTGTTCACAACTCTCGCCAAGGTGGTGACCAAGTCCACTGACTCCAAGGTACCAGTACACCTCGAGGAATCCGCTGTGGCTCTTGCCCGAAAGCGCAACGCGGCACAAATTGCCTTGCCATCCAATTCCAGTGGAGAACCCCACGAAATCACCACAGGAGAGGAGGATGAGCGAACCGTTCTGGAGCTCACTTGCAACTCTTATGTCTTCAATCGCGATTCAACTCAATGGACGCCAATTGGGCAGAGCTACCTCCATCTAAACGATGCCACGCAATCCTCCGCCTCGTCTCGTCTCATAATTCGCCTGCAATCGACGCGTCGGGTGGTGGTGAACACTCGCATCTGGTCGGAAATGCCTGTGGCCTACGTGGCAGAGAACAAAGCGGTGCGGATCGGCGCGATGACGGTGGCCGGTCAGAATGACGTCGAGGGTTCCATTCGCACCTACATGCTTCGATTTGCGACCACAAACTTAGCTTTAACTTTTTTTGAGTCGCTGGAAGAAAGGAAGAATCACGCGGAGAAATTGGATATGGTTGTCAAGCGTCCAAGAGTTGACGAATCGCAGGAATCAACGGAAGGGGGTAGCATTTCTTGCGATTCTGCATTCTGTAAGTCAAATTAAACTTTGGCTTTTTATCACTTTTGCTCCCAAAGTCGATTACCACTAATGAGCTAGGATGGCAAATATATCACCTCTCGTGACCGATTGTTTTCGATTCATGTCGGTGAAAATTTGGAAACATCTTTCATCGATTCTCCTGAGTTGTCCTGTGATAGCGAAGGCACGTCTTTCTGCCCACTAGGTGATCTTTTTATGAGGTGTTGTGTTAGTATTTGGATAAACACGTGATTACAGTTGAGGACGTGGATGTTAGTCGTTGTGTAAAGACATCAACATTCATTGGGTAGTGAATTGTATCCACACGTGTGCTTGGACACCAACATATGCAAGTGTGTATTTTGCTATTCCTATGACTGTCAATATATTCAACTTCGTCTTCTGTAGCCGAAACAAACCGCAAAACGCCTACTCAAGAGGATCAGATTTCAGATCCCCACACCATCGCGTTACCTTTACCTGCGGCCTGTACAAAATCTGGATGTGCTACTGTACTCTCTCTTCCGTGCCAGCGCGTTAGACTATACGACGCGTCGAATGACCTGCTAGAGGACGTCGAGGCACAGGGTGTTTCTGTGCAGATCACCGACTACCCTCCCAATGGCCCCGCAGTCCTTGAAGTGACCGCTCCAAACGGCGCTGGAGAGTCACTTCTGACCGTCGCCGTTGGTCTCCGCCTAGCTTTTTGTCAAATCGGAGATGCAGAGGTACATGTTTTCGTAGTGGCTGCTTCCGAGGACCAAACCGAGCAAGAAGGAAGCCTGAAAAAAAGTTGCCATATTCAGTTGGCGTCGTCATCAGATGCTGATAGGCTCTATCGGTCCCTCCTTCTTCGCGTCAACCGCCTTTTCATGGAAAGTTCTGGTTTACTAAAGGAACCTGAGGGTAAGTGCTTAAATTAGTTTGCTCTTCATCCGACAGGTCTCTATACCGAGTTTGAAAGTACTATAATGTCCTGAATAGTGAAAGTTTGGCTTGTAGTAAAAAGTTGTAGGGGGATCCGCTTTTGTTGTAAGACATCAGTATTTACGGTCACTTTTAAGTCTAGTGTGACGGCCTCAACCCCGAAGTACCCTTTTCCTATACTCCCGTTATCACGTTATTGTTCGACCCTGGTAATTGTGATCATTGGATTTCTTCCTTCAATCACATTTCTTTATACACTAAGACATTATGTCAACTTTATAGAATCAAGCAGATCTCAGTCTGGTGACAGGACGATAGATATCCGAACTGGAAGCTAAAGGACTTCGGAAAGGTCTATCAGTTACTGTTTCGGAACTTCGCACATTCGGATTGTTGGACCTATGTGTATCTACTATCACGCTTCCGTTTTGTAGATTTTTAATGAGTTTCGGATCGTGGTTTTGTGTTTTTAGTTGTAACTAAATGTTTTGTGTTGCCTTTCTTTTGGTAAGCCGGCGACATAGAAGCACATACAAGGGTAGTAGGTATTTCTCTTCTTTTTCAATTTAAAAATGTAAAACACATGATAAGCGATGAGTGGTTTGCACACCGTATTAGTTTGAAGCATACATTTATTAGGCTTGACTCATTGGTTGCAGAAATTCGATTTTGCTCCGCCACCAACAAAAGACATGCATCTCGTTCACCACATGGCCAAGTGTTATAGCGATTATTGAGGTGTCTTGCGTTCTGTAAGATTTGCAAAATGCCGCTTGGGTGTTTATGGAAAAGATGGTGTCGAAAATTCGGCCACTTAAGAGGTCTTAATGTGCTGTTAATGCTTCGTGCTTTACAAAGGAGGGCGGCTTGATTTTTTAAGGACGTGTCGTGCTCGGAGCGTTTTGACAGCTTTGGGGCTACGGTTGGTAAACGCCTTCGGTACATGCTGGAAGCCAGTAAACTGGTGGCTTTCTTGTTGACCCACTAATTTCTGAAGATTTGTGAGCATGCGACTTCAGAGTTGTGGGGTAGCAATCGTGGTGCCGTCGCACAATACGACTCTTCGGTTAAAAACAAATTCACTGTGCTCGTTCACCGGTTCCCTTATAATAAGAGCGCTAACTTGATCAACAAGATCTGCATTTCTGACCACTTGGACACGCGCGATTCATTGTGAAGACTGATTTACGGCTAATGTGGCTGTTCCTAATTCACGGCAGGTGGTACTGCGATGAATCTCCACATTGGCGACGAACACTTAAAGCGCAGCCTCGAGCATACGCCGCTACAAAGGCCATCCACAACAATGGGGTTGTGTGATTTGGTAGAGATAGGAATGTGTAAGAGCGATTGTGTACTCTTTCATAAAACTGTGCACTGCATATCTTGGTTGTATCTTGGTTTCATTACACGATAACTTTCCCCTTGGATTCTCTTGCAGTGCAAAATTGCGGTTGACAATGGTGATAGGGTGGTTCGCGAAGCGCAGGCAGTGACACCAAGAACCGAATTGTATCCAATGAGAACAATGAATGCTCAAGAAGAAATTGAGTAGAAGAAATCAGCAGAAAATTAAGCGCTGGATTTGACACAAGGTTTTAAATCTCTTGTTTTTTTGTCTAAATTACTTGAAACAGGTCTAAGTGGGGAACATAGGAAACTGGTAAACCAAATCGTGTACAGTAACCTAAAAACGCCACGTGTCGTGCCGGATTAACCAGATATGAAATTGCATTGAGGGAGATTTTCGATGCGGAAAATGTGAGGAACCATGGTTTTCGTTGCCTTTTTAGAGTTACGAATGAGTTGCTTTGTGCTTTATGAGAGCTTCAAATTTGGTTTTGCAGAACGTCGTGAAGACCTCAGTATAATTAAGCCCTTTTGACACCTAGGCAATCCTTGCTCAGTGCGATGCCAGCTAAGGCATCTCAGACATCCTTGTTGAGCGAAAAGTCTTGCTCACAAGTATCACATCTAATGTGCGTCGTTCCTTCGAGCCACTTCGAATAACTTCAAGATATCATGAAAACGCTGTCATCATTCGCATTGTGCGCGCTGGTAAATACCTCTTTTTCTCTGTTGAGTACCCGGAAAGGTCCGTTGTTTAACATTTTAAGTGACTGGCGTGTTTCGTCCTGTAATACAGCCCGCGAGTACAAGAGTAGAGCTTCTTTGGATTGTGGAAATTTGTGATCAGGGAACTACGTTGAGTGCACGGGTCTGGCCCTGGCACATTAGGTGTTGCAGGGGATTGACGTAAAAAGTTTCACTTTTGTTCCTAAAACGGCGTCTGCTGCACAACACTTCGTTTTTTTCCTTTACGACCAATCAAATTTCGAGTTAAACGAGTGGCAACGCCACCCTCTATTGAGTCTAATCACCTTAAGCTGTTAAAGCAGGCTTCGGCTGACTGTGAAACCGTTCTAGCGTACCATTCGACTGGCAATGATATACTGTCATTCGAATGCGATTTGTTCCCGGAAGTCGAGGAAGGTTTTAGAACAGACCTGGCTTGAAAATTTTACCTCGATGGAGATAATTTGCTAAAAACGCAATTCACTCGTCAGCGACAGTTTCTGTTATTATTACGGCGAATAAAATGGTGAACGCATGTCACAAAGTAAAAGAAACTGAAGCAACGAATGCGTCAAGAGTGCTTCGCTATGCCAGGCGATGAGGACTGTTGAAAGCTTAGGCAATTTTTTCCATTGGTTAATGCTTGATATCTGGAGAGACGCATATTAGGTTCTAAAATCGGCTTTCTTGTTAGTAAGCGGCTTGCATGGGCTAGAGCATGAAAGCTCCGAAACAATTACTATGTGCTTGCAATCCTCTTGAGAAATAGGATTGACAAACAAACGCAGTTCCATCGGACCGGTTTGCGGTACCTGCAGTAAGCCTTCGTCATTATTCCGACTCGCGACCCTGTGGTGGTGCACGACACTCCGTGTTCGCGGGAGACTAGCTTGTCGTTGAATTTTCGCGCTACTTTTGCTCTCAAATGCCCATCACAACAAAGCCACAGCCATTGGAGTGCGCTGTCAGCCAAAGCAAACCACAATCTGAAACCACTGAGTCAGCCACTGAGGTTGTTTTAGCTGCCTACAAAATTGACTGCGATCGCCACAACGCCACAAATTACAAGCACCGAGAGTGAATACGGAGGGAGGCGTCACGAATCACAGTAGCGCCTTTCTACCAACCCATGCAACCAACAGTGCTGACAGACCTGCGAATTTGCCGTGCATGTGTGTACTAAAATCGTCTGAAAATGGACAGACTAATTAGTTTGAGATTAAGTAATGGAAATTTTCTGGAAGGAATAGCTTAAATCACAAGGTAACAGTGAACAGATATCTCATATAGGTAACCTGGAGGTCAGCATGCATAAAGAGCATTCGATGTCGAAATTATTTGAGGGAAGCTTCCTGTTACGCCATTTTCGTTTATTACTCAGTCGTCATATTTCCTCCAACCGATTTTTGAATGCAAAATTTGTACCAGATTATGATTGGTCTTTCATGGTCATCTCAACACTCAAGTTGGGGGACAGTTAAAAGAGAATGACTATTTATTTGTGCAATCACCCGCATTCGTTTTCATAACGCCTCCTTGTATGTTCAACTAATACTGAAGCTTCCTAGAATTTCCACTTTCTTCCTTTTTCACTGAATTCTTGTTATTGACCATGTCTTTTGAAACTTGTGCTTCACGATTCTCCCAAGGTCAATTCCTGCCCTTCCTTCGAAGTGACACTTTTACAATCAAGTTAAATATTTGAATAACAAAATTTAACTACGGGCCACTTGTAATAATCACATAATGTGTTGTTGTTGTGTTGTTGATGTTATTTAAAATATTTCACAACTCATCTGGCCAAATAGAGACATTTTTCCCGGGTTGCGAGCGACACCAGCAGTTTCCCCAGGGTTGGCGCGCGAACTATCGCGTGTTAATGATCTGCCAAAGGAATCCTTATTTCACCGAAGCTGTTATCTCAGATCCATAACCTTTTTTAGGCCAATAAAAGTTCAGAATAACCTTTTTGCCTCTGCACTTCAGAATCCGCCACATAGAGAGAGAGTGCGAAAGGCATCATGCAGGTAGTAACTGGGAATGGAACATGAAGCATTGCATGCCTATGTTGGCATCCATGGTTCAACAATGGGGAGGAAATGTTAGTATCTGGGTTCAATGAACTACGGGAGAGAATAAAGTAAGTGAAGCAAAATGCTAATCGCCTTTGACCGTTGTAACACTTTCCCAGTAATCTGTTTACCAGAGCACCGAAGACAAATAAGTCGCCCCTTTTCCATAGGAAGATTTACATTATCCGTTACTTTTGTACATTAAGTAACATTTGATTTCGCAGTCACGAGGAGCAGAGTGTGCCCATGTCTGTCAAAAGCCCACGGCGTGGAGGTAGAATTCTAAATCGCCTAGGCTCATGTTTCCTCGGTGGGTTTATGAAGGAGTATAACGAATTAACGCAGCAGGGCTAGACCAGGGTAGCCTAAGACCAGTTCTTTTCTTAATAAAATTAAACTCAGGAAAATATAAGCTGTTTTAATTTAAAAGGGGCCTTAACGTTGAAACGATTTTGAATGTTGCTTCTTTTATTTTAAAGATTCCTCTATTACGTCACATATTTGAGTTTGAACTAGTTTTAATGCGAGTTTTGCTTGGCACAGCATGGTTTTTCATTTCAAATCCAGATTTTTGGGGCCACTTTGCCCTTTCTGTTGTCGGGGGCCTGGGGTTGAAAGTGAGGTTCCGTGATCGTGAAGATTCTTCTACTTCCGACTATTTGCATACTTATTTAGGCCTACAAACTTGTTATTTTATCCAGCGCGACTGATCTTTTTCTTTTAACTTATTGCTTTGAATAGAACCATTACAAATGAGAGTTCGATAACGCATCTTAATGAAATCTACGCCCATTTAACTTAGATCGAAGCCATAATGCATGACATTTTGCGATGTATGTAGTCTGAACAGAGCTGTGACCAGTCTATAATGCATAGACGATATAAAACGCACCCAAGCTTCAGACCTGCTGCCTGGACGTATGATAATAAGTGTCGTTTGCGATGTGACAAGCATTTAATCAAAGTTGTTAAACACATTGTGGGCCCCAGCATGTGGTCTTGAACCACGCCGGGGCCACGGAATTAACCCTGGCCCGACTACGCTTGCCTGATGCCCGCGATGAAGAAAAAGACCGGAGACACCATCGTTTACTTCAGGGCTCAACCTCGTTGGTGTCGTCGTGTCGAGTGTGAGGTTTGCGCGTGTGTATTTATACCTCGGATGTGTGAGTCATACATGCGCTAACATCGAGACCTAGGTGTGAGGATAATCCAAGATAAATATTCCTGTGAATGAAGAGGGAGTTGAGGATTCGCGCGTCTGGCGTCATGCTGTGAAAAAGGGGAACCCTATGTCGGAGGCGATGCGATCGGATTAAGGGGTTGAATAAGCACTATACCAGGTTGGTGAGAAGGTAGTAACCGCGTTATTTAAAGCATTGTGAAATCAAAGTATAGCCCCAAGTACACATTGAAACTAACAAAACGTAAACGAAGTCTACACTGGATGCTATTTTGGCTACAGAAGGAATCCTTGAAGGCTTCCAGTTGTCGTCGCTTTGGTTACTTTGAAATAATCACGTCGAAATGTTACAGTTGGCTCCATCCAAATTAGAGGGCAGTCATATTTGCGTAAATGTGGGTGCTGAAGTAGAAGTAGTTTGGCACCCGTTTGATTTACTTGGATCGCGATTTAGAAAACGTTATAATGAGGGAAAAGATAACAACTCAGTAACTCTTTGCTTACTGTTTATTGCCAATTAATCCAAAGCACGATTTTGATGTTAATCGATGCCCATCATTTTTGGACTGGTTCTCCTTGTATTTTGCCGATGCATGCCAATGAGGCATCAGAAATTGCCTTTCAAAACAAGTTTGTGCAATATTTTGTTGGTATTTAGCAATCAAAGTTACCTGATTTTCGCCGCGGCCGATTTCCCACAAAGACGATTTTGTTAATAACTGATTTATTTTGGACATTTAGCTCTATAAATTCTGGATCCGCGTATTGGCGCACGCTATTTTGCTTGATCCGAACGCCGTAGCTTCGGGGATGTCAGAGCATTTGAACTTGGTGTTGTGAGCATGCATACAATGACCGTCTTGTGACATTATTCTCCTGAACCTAGATATTGTTTTTATTAGTATCGGTTAATTGATTGTTGTTATTAAACCAACTGAAAGTCGTTTGACCTCTAACTAACCCATAGCGCATTAAACCATCTACTAAATTCTGGTCGGATTTCACGAGACGATTGGTCCATTGTACGGAATAATTTGCAATTGCTTGGCTGGTAAGAATGAACCCAACCTTAAGTAGTACAGAACTCCTACGCATGAACTTCGGCCTAAGCTACGTGTCGATGAATCTCAATTTTTGAATTTCAACAAGACAAACCACAGTTCCTGCCATTGATAATTAGAAAAGCCGACTTTCCCGTATGAAGGAGCCCACGTGCCCCAAAAACACCGCTGCAAGGCCCTGGTGTCTTTGAGTTTGGAAAATACCCCGCGACATGGCCTGTTATTACTGTGAATCAGCAGAATCATTTGATGTTCTGCTGCGATACGCATTACGCAATCGGAAATAGGGACTCTTGCTCGTGTCTGAATGGTGCTACTTTTAGCTCCAGCTTGTAAAAGACTGTGGGGTCTGCAACAGCTATGCAGCCCTCGTCCAGTCCGTAATCACAGTCTGGCGTTTAGTGACTGCCGAGACATCATAAGAGCTACCAAGCTCCCCACTCATTCCATCAACCTTATGTGAATTCGAAGAGGCGAGGAAAGTGCAAAGTGTATTCAGCAGCTGACCTGGCAGGGCTGAGGAGCTGACCTGGCATGGCCGCTAGCACAGCGACGCGCCTCGGCACATCCTTTATCCAACTAGCCACGTGTGACAGTCCAAAGTCCGAACAATAAATGGTTGACCACGACCAACATAATGATAAACCAAGGGTCAAATCTTCACCAGTACCGGACACATCTGCAATTCAGACAAGCAAAGTGTGGCTTCAAATTTACCTTATCGAAAGACAACAACCGCACAATTCCCGGAATGACGGAGAAGATACTTGCTCAGTTAGTCTGTACAAATAAATGGCAAAACCGTGGAGAGATACGAGGGCTTGCCCGTCTTCCTCCAACCACCTGGTATGATAAGGTAAAATTGTTAAAATTAACAGGTATTTGGATGATAATGGTAGGCAAATATAAAAAGAAGAGAAAACTGTTGAGAGTCAATGAGAGGGATCTAGTCATAGGGGCGTCAGACACGCGTGTCTTTGGTTAATTTGGAAAACGCTCTTTTGGCTCACAATGATTCTGAAGACCGGGACCAAACTAGGCTGAGGAGGTCGACGAACTGCGTACGTGTCGTTGACGGTGGAAGAAATTGAATGCTCCCGGGTGCCTCGCATCTGCATCTGCACAGCTCCCATCAGTTTCTTCCTCAACAAAGGCAACGCTTCGATGAGGCTTAGCTGTGGCTGCTTGGTTGGGAGTACTCGAGGAGGCATGGAAATTGGCATCGGTAGAGGGAGTAGGGAACGAGGGGGAATGTTCCTCGGCAGAGAGATTCGACTCGGAAACCGAGAGGGCGAAGCAGACAGGTTGCGTTGATCGCACCACTGTGTTAGAGGGTGTGTCCCAGGGAAAGTAACAGGTCTGACGAATCTCAATAGCCTTTCGGCAAACGGGGCAGTGCGTAAGGCGGAGACTACAGTCCTCGCAGCTAAAGTGACCGCAAGGCACAAAGACACATTTCACCGGGCGATCCAAACACACTCGACACTTAACCTCTTCGCGGCGAACCTTTTGCACGATCTCCTGGACTTCCTAAAAAGCGAGAGAGACGTGAGAGGAACTTCTGTGGGTCGAATCCACAATATCTAAAGTTTTTGGAATTGCGAAATAATTGAACACACATCGTTGTCGGATGTTTCAGAGTAGAAATTACATTAAGTCTCGATGACTAATTGAACTGTACGTTTTAAGTACTTTAAGTTTGAATACATCTTCAACTGATAAATCAATGTTGCGTAATGCAAAAGGGACGACCAAACTTGCTCTTTATCATATTCATATTGTAAATGAACCACAGCAGACATTCTACCTTCCCTCGCAACTTCCCATGATGAGAAACGAAGATTAGGAGAAAGCTAACTTGTTTTCGAAGTGTAGTGATGACGCAGAAAAACCCCTAACAGGATGTAGCCAAACAAAGTAGATAAGTGCGCGATTTGAACATTTAGTAGAAGTTGATTGTAAAGGAGGTTTGGCATCAACCCCACTAAGTTGTTTTAGGTTCGCGGTCAAGTTAATAAATGGAAAAAAGGAACGTGTGATTGGGAAAACCAGGTCCGCGTTGCTCTCGCTTGCCTTGACACGCTGGCTTGCACACGTACGGAAGCGATGAAAACCACGCGCTGTGTGCATGGGCAATGCGTGATTTCGCGACCTTGCCACGAAATTGGCCAATTGAAGAACAGAACAGAGAGAGTGGCCTTGGTGCGCATTCGCATCCGTCTGGGCTACGTGATGCGTGTGTGAACGGCGTAGGCGCAAAACCGTAGTTCTTAGTGCCTTGTCTGTCATAATGGGGGAATTTGAACCGAATGTGCTGGCTTTTTGCATATACAACAGTCAACAGCTCTCCAACGTAGGTAACGTGGACACAAAGGGAGTTAGCATACGATTATGAATAAGATTCGATTCGAATTTGCTGGTTGTAGAAGGGGGAGGCAGTAAAGCCATGTACGCAAAGTAGCTTGCCAGTATGAATAGCAGAGATTGCTTTGAGCTGCGTTGAGTGGGTGGAGTTCTAATTTCTCTCACTTCTAACTGTCTCATTCAATTTGCAACCAGATACCGAACAGCTTGAAACGATACAGTTTGGTTGGAAGGCATTAATCAGAGGGATGAAGGCCCCGAACAGCCAAAAGTAACTTTGCGTTTGCTTTTTTTGCATGAAAATAAGCAAATACCATCAGTGGTGTTCACGAAAATCTTAGCAAAAAGGGACTTTTCCACTGAACAGATCATCGAGCAAACAGTCTGTACAACGTATTAGGTAATTTGCAACGTAATCAGGGCAAGTTTGGTATCAAGGGGACCGCTCACAAGAGACAGTTTAGGCAATCAACGAACTGCAGTTCTAGACTGAACCAATCAGTCAGCACAAAAAAGACAGCTACGGAGATCGATGCCTAAATTTCAAGCCAATTCTCCACTAATTAGTGCTGGCTCTCGATTATGTCCTGTGGTAATTAGAAATAACACTGAAAAAAGTACCGCGCAAACTCAGCACATCCAAATCACTCGCTTGCCCTGTCGATGAACACGACTTCATCTGCGTTACCAGATGCTGCGGCTATATTGACTTATTTCTTGGTCATAAATTTACACACCAAATTACTTTCTTTAAAGTGCAAAGTTGTAAAATAAATTTGCCAGAATGTCATTTACAATGAAAACAAACACTATGATTCAGAACACAAGAAGCAACATACAACAAACCACAAGATATGAGTAACTGAATGACAAATTTTGGGGGGAGGGCCACAAACCTGAATTAAAGCGGTACAAAGAATCAAGATAATAGTACTAAAATTCACTTACTAGACAGAAGAAGTAAAGCCCGTAAGAATCGGTTTGGGTCAAAAAGAAAGTCAGAATTTGCATATTCACTGCCCTAAAGTGATTTAAGCCGTGTGCTAGCCATGGTTATTGGGGGTGTTAAGACAAATGTGTTGAGTCAAAGTCAATGTTACAACGCCACAACCGCAACATTTTCAACGGCAACACCGAGTGGATGAAATACCAGGATGGAATTACGAAATTGCTGACTGCAACACTCCCAAATAAGCAATCAGCCCTCAGAGATGCATTTAAGAATTAGACTCTTCGTCTCATAAGACGAGACTGAAACCTATTTAAAGAATACAAAATTTAGCTCGGAGACAAAAAGTATCTTAATGGCAACAAGAGGACGCTTAAAATGTCGTTGGACGAAGAACAGCTCACTGCTTGTTCAGAGCAGGGAAGTGGATTTTGCACCAAGAACACGTTTCCTCCCAGGCGTTTATGAATTCCAACGTTAGGAATTTAAACAACTGTACTTAACAACTTAATTGTTCCTTGTGCAATACGAAACCTTAACGAAAGCGGACTGAAGGTGATTTGCATGTAAAACGGATATCATTGATTATCGATGTGTCGATAAGAAATGCTCACACGTGTAGACGCGGATAAAATGTTGCATAAATTTGTGATGTTGATGATATTGACAATTACTTGGTGCCAAGTGACACGACGGCCAAACAAGCAAGGCTTCAATTCAGTTGGTATAGTAAATGGGCTTAAATGATTTGTACACACTAGAAACAGGCTATTGACGAAGAAAGCCTCACCTCCATGCTGGTTAGGGAGCCCGTGTGGCTGCGGGAGGTTTCGGTTGTCCTGTTGAGACCCGAGTGCACCGAAGAGTTGTTGTCCGAACCCGCCGGTGGACTCGCGCGCCCGATCGTGGCCACGCTGATCGAGGCCTCGTTAGCTGCGTGGTAGAGATTTCGACGGGCTCGATCCTGCACCTCCCGACTCGTGTAACGCACATCAAAGGTATACTCGCGACCTTTATATGAAGAAGGGCAAATCTTTACGTAATTTTCCTCCACAAATCACATCTTATGAGTTATCAACCTCTAAAATTTAAGCAAGCTGCATTTTTCGTGGTTTTAAATTTTCAGTCGCAGCCGTAATTGTGGTTGTTAGACAGGGTTGCCGTGTTGATTGGCATGCCAGCTAATGTGAATGAAAGTGAACGGTCCTGGCTTCAGATGACAGTTTCGCCGTTGAGTGGTAAGATAAAAATGTTTCTGCTGCGGCAAAACGCTCAGCTCTTCCACCATCCAGTCAGTCCTAAGCTCCATTGAATGACGCGGCAAAACAACCAACTCCGACACCCGTTTCAAGCCATTACTACCGATTTATTAAAGGGTGGAAGAAGTCAGGTTCTTTGGGTCAGTGTAACCATGTGTTTTAGTGAATAAGATTTCTATTATAAATGTTTAATTTTCAAACTCCAACAGCGAAATCGCAGTAGAAAGATATTTTAGCAGACTGTGATAACAGTCTTTCTTTGTAAAAGTATAAACAGCTTTTGAGGGTGTGGCACAAGGAGATATTGCACCATTTCTAAGGCGCTGTAACGACGGTTCGGTTTTAAGGACGTTGATAGAGTAGGTAATTTTCCGGATCAGAAGTTCATAAACACGGGAAAATTCTGTAGACAGTCCTCCTTACAGAGTTACGCCAAGGTCACGACAACTTATATTAAAGACTACAGTTAAAAGATTATATCCCATTAAATTAGATGAACACATTGTCATCTACCAGCGATAATTGGAAGTTCCTGGGGTCGGTGACTTCCCCTTAACATATGTCCCCATGTGCGGAAGCCACATTTGATCAACTTTCAAAACTCTGCTGTACAACAGAAAACTAAACTTTAGTCATGAAGAAAGTGCGATCAATTGTTCTAACAAAGGCGTGCGAAAATACGTAGGAGCGCAAATATTTGCGGCAAAATGTGTCAATGTACGAGAGTTGTTGAAAAAGTAAGGTCTTTTAAAACGACTTCTTTCACCACAAGAATCGATACATCTAACCTTTGAAGATGAGGTATTAGTTAGAAATGGATTTAACGCAAGGCATTGGGAAGCCATAACATTCACATGGACACTGACTCCTAAAAGCGATTTCAAGGTGTGAAACCATTGCGTTTTGCTTCTCAACCGGATCAACTGATTACTTGCTCCTAAGCAAGGCCTACTTCACAGACATTTAGGCTTCCCCATCTGCCTGGTATGGCTGACGACGGTGTTGCAAGATGCTGCTGATTTTTCCAAAGAGGGACATCCGCCACCAGAGTTCGTTGAACGGTAACATCAAAAAGGATAGGTGACTTGTAAAATTTACGAACGACGTTCGAACCCATGTGAACGACGCTTAGTTTCCTTATCGACAAAAGCCCGCAAGTGCCAAGAACATTGTCAACTTTTCAGAAATACAAAAGCTGGGATAACTACACACAGTTATACCCATGAAAGCCCTATATGAGGCGGATTAGTAACATCCTCCAAAGTAATAAGTCACAAGGGGAAGTCCGCTTTAGAAAGACCAGAAGGATTATGTTGACGCTTTTTTGAACAATGTCATGGTGATGTCAAGTGATGCTGGAATCAAAATGGTACCAAAATATCGATTTGAAGAGAAAACTAACACCTACGTCAGATAAAATAGTATAAAAGTGAGGGCCCAAGGAAGTACCTATGCATCGTGTAAATTAGTGTTCTTGATGCACTATGGGGTACCAGACAAAGCCGCTTGCTTGCCAACAACCAGGCAGGCAGCATTCCGCAAAAAAAGGATTATGTTGACGCTTTTTTGAACAATGTCATGGGTTTGATTCTACCTTGTTGGTTAGCATAGGTAGAGAAGTGCATGGAATAGCACATTTGCATGCCAAACACATACACCGCATTGTGACCAAGATACGAATGCGAAGTTCTCTTGTTCAAAAGATATTCATTATAACATCTGACCGACTACTTAAAAATAGCTATTCTAGCTTGCCACCTTTATTGGGTTGCTGTGCATCCCAATAATTAAGTCAGGCCAATCGCGTCCAAAAAAGACAGTTGCCACAAGGAAGGAATGTTGTTGCGATCGCTAACTTATTTGGTCCTTTGATAAAATAACCGAGTTACTTTAAGTGATGGAACCTAAAAAGGAGGGGTGGGTATTAAATGGAAGAGAAAGCTTTGGCTAATGTTGGCGTGGAACTCACTTCCATTGTGGTCAAATATTGAGGACAAATTGATGCTTGGATTAGTCCGAGTAAGAACATCATCCCGAACATTGTCACATCGAAAGAAACAATGCAATTCAGTAATGGACCGGTAAAGTGAATCGGAAGCCCGTTTGCTCGACAGCTCGTAGTTTCGCATCTTTACAGAACCGTCATCCTCTAGAAGATTTAGCGTCACCACTCGACCCGCAATTGTCACTGTTTTTAGTCGGCAGTAGGGAAACCTACGAGAGACAGGAATTCTGTTTCAATTAGTAGCTCTATTGCATGGAAAATTCACCAAAGCAAGTGATGCTGGAATCAAAATAGTACCAAAATATCGATTCGAAGAGAAAACTAACACCTACGTCAGATAAAATAGTATAAAAGTGAGGGCCCACGGAAGTACCTATGCATCGTGTAAATTAGTGTTCTTGATGCACTATGGGGTACCAGACAAAGCCGCTTGCTTGCCAATAACCAGGGAGGCAGCATTCCGCAGCTCAACTTATAAGCATCGTCTCACCCGTCCTACACTAGCAAGGAATTTTCATGAGCAGAAAAACGCGTGGTTGACCGACTGGTTATCATTATCTCCGAACGGGTCATTCAAGGCCACTTCAAATAATCGAACAGCCGTTTAGCAAATACAAATAATCTGATCGAACGCCTGATCACCGCTGCTTACGCACCCCTAAACAATAGGCCCACAACCATAACAAACTAAATCTTGCAAGTACAAGGTTCAAAATAACATCCTTTTTTTCCAACATTCAACATCAGCAAGAAGACAAGTGCCAAAAAATTGTGCATCAATTTTGCTATGAATAAAATGCTCGAATTCTGAAGGCCCATTTAGCGGCTAAATCGGTCCTAAAGATAGCAGTGTAATCAAACACATGCACTTAAACTACCAACCGGTCAAAAATAGTGCAGCCAAAGATAAACTAATGTGCATGAAATTTCTCCAGGTTTCAGACGCCTAACGCCATAATGCTTAAATGCTAACAACGCTTGAGAGGATATCCTTGTTAGAATATAAAGACGCGTAACCAAGAGTTTCACCTCTCCAAAAATGTAGTGTCCGTCTGACAGACAGCCACGTATTCGGGTCCAACACCCATCAAAAGTCGGTGGCCGTACATATCCATAATCTCGTAAAAGTACACCCCAAAAGCGGGTACCTCCTCGTGAGCAATCCGAAGAAGTTCGTACTCGGCAGACCGGGTAGACATCCCATGCAGCTCCTTGTGGTAGCTGGCAGCCATACCCAAGACCTCATGGGGTATCTCTTCTCTTCGATCGGACCAAAAGCAAGCGTATTTACATGGAGTCGTTGACGAATTAAAAGATCCAAACTGCACATAAGCCATCAGGGCGATGAGACGTGACTGTAGATCCAGAGAGGTTTCCGCATCCCAGAGGCCGAGTTTTAGTTGCTGTGCAGCATTAAGATAGAACTGGTGTCTTAAAAAAGGTACTTTAGACGGAGTAATAGGAAACGACGTACTTAGTTTCTTCAAGTACTAGGTTGTAGGGTGGTACGAAATATTTCACTTTGAAGAAGAGGTTATAGGGTGGATTACAGGGGAGTTGTTTAGAGAGGCGATTGCGTAAGTTAAGCCAAATTAAGTCGCCTTTTGCCAGAGCGTATTGTAGACCAAAGTAATCGGCCTCATCCTGAATTCCGAGCAATGTACAAACCTAAAATAAAAAGCAGCCTAATTGCGTATTCCGAAAACAAAGTCGTGGAGGATGTTACATGGTTGTAGAAAGGGATTACCTTATTGAGGACCTCCTGGCCATCCGCTTTACTATCTACGTCTATATGCAGAACGACGTTATCCGGTTGTGTTACGAAGCAGGTTATGATGCCGCTAGAGCTTCCCTGACGATGAGTCTCCGAATGTCCTTTTACTCTAGAGCGATTTAATACGTCAGTTCGATGCGCCAGAGCCATTATGCGAATGAACCCATTCGACGAGATGAAGGTATCGCGCACCACGGATAACCCGGCAAAGAAAACGTTTCACCCAGCGTTCCTTCCAGACGATGCCGCTAAACCTGACTTACCATCAACCAATCGACGAAAGAGGGGCAGAAGAGAGCGAAGTAATTGGCTAATGCAGCCCAGCCAATCAGAAAAAAAAATCAGCTGTCTGGCAATGCAGGCAGCAGCAGGGTACGCGCTCATTGTGCTAGTCGCCTTCGTAAGACGAGGTTGTTCTCCGCCTCGGTGAACGGGGTGGGTGTGCTTCTTTGGGCTAGTTGAAGAGGAGTGACGTTAACCTAGTCTGTTCGTCTGTAATACTAACAAACAGCAAGTAATCGGGGCCTCCTGACAAGGTCAATTTTATAACATTGTGGTTGGTAGGTAATGCGTTGTCTTTTCTAACCAAACAGTATGAGAATGGTGCTAAGGTTGATGCACTCTTCAAGACATCTACTTAACGGAACAATATTGATTTCCACCGGCATCTTTATACGCATTCAAAGTAGTTCTCGAGTTACTAATTCGCTGCTATGATCTACTAAACTGCATAATTATTCTGAACTACGCTGTTTAATTTACTTGCTAGTTCAAAGGGTGCGGTACGCTCATCTGAGGGAAAGCAAAATCATGTGATTGAAGCCAAATGCGTCATACCATGCAGGTAGTCGATTCGCACTGCAAAAATATGCAAACCAAGCTTAACATAAGTGTGTTTTGGTTTTCCAATATTTCTTAAGAACGGGAACATTGTGTTTCAAGTAATTCAAAATGCGGGTGCTTACTTTGTCAATTCCCTTTGCATTTACTGCTTAAGCAACGTTGGATAACTCTGCTTAAGTCACCCATCACCTGATATGCTGTGGATGCTTTTACGGCGATGAATACATCCATTGGCAAAATACAAAAGGCAAATTAACAGTTGGGTATCCCTGAGTAGGTTGATTACCCGAAACCTGTCCTGGGACGGTTATTTTTAAATTGAGTTGATATTATGTGAATTCAAGTAATTATTACGTATGATGGCAGGTTCCCCACGAGACCTGCTTTTAAAGCGGATGACAACTGTAATCCTGGAAAGCCGACATTCCAAGAAAGGCTTGATCTGAGGTATCGAAAACCCACCTCATAATGTGGGTCTGGGCGAAGTTGGGTTACTCGGTCTATCCCAGAAAGCCGGAATTATTCCTAAGTCAGTAGTTCTAGATTGTTGAAAACTTGTGTGTCAACGAGGAAGAACCCCGGCCCAAAGATTCTTTCTCAACTACCACTTCGGAGCAAGTTCTTTTGCTGATTTCCAGCTGACTTAAGGGCACTTCAGGAGTCGCACAAAAGCGGACTTACGATGGGTTGCGGCGCTTGCCATATTTCGGTGATTAAATAGGTTGTAATTCGGGTCAGCCGGTTTGTTAGAGCAGCACAGCAGATGTCATCCTCCAGCGGGCAAATCTGAGCTAAGTCAACTTTTCGAGGCACTTAAGTTTAGTTAAAAGGTTAAATATCACACAGGGACAATTGGGTGTATCGATTAATGTACCCTGGTAATGCTGAAATGCCAGTTCTTATCCTCCGCAGTGGGATGCATTTGCAGACGTGTTATAAGGTCAGAGGTCAAATGTGCTATGGCTTTGCTACCGTACTAACTGAAAACGGTAATTAAAAAACGGAGAACTGGGTATGAAGCATGCCTTATGGTGAATTCTTGCATCGAAAGAACGCGGAATGTGCGGCTTACAAGTAAAAATAGATTCCGCTTGAATTTGAACTCACAGATGTTGGCTCCTGAATGGAAACTAATTATGGCTTTATTCCTACTTTTTGAAGCATGTGTCCACCAAATAGCACGAAATCCCTTTCGCCACCACTGGTTCCGAATAGCACCAAAAGTTCCTTTCACTTCAACATTTTGAAACCTGCACCATGAAACCAACAGAATTGCGCATCCCCCACGCTCTTAGTGAAGATGTCATCGTTGCATTACGCCCAGAAAACATCGCAACCGCGGCTGCCGTCAAATACCTCAAATGCGACGATAACTACCACTACAAAAAAATAATTTTTAGCTTAATAGAGTACAAGATACAAATTGTAGGTCCTCATAGGTCTACGAAAAGTTGATGGAATGGTTAACAGGATGAGGGGGGAGGGGCGGGATCACAACTTTTCATTGGATTCTCCGAAGAAGAGCTATCCAAAAGATGATTGGGGACCGTGGGAGCTGGAGAAAGACCCATTGGAAGTCGCTCGTTCGAGTACTCCTCATAGCGAAAGATGACACTGAAGAGATCCCCGCCTAGCCGGCAAGCCAGCCAGGAGTTCTTGATCACCGCGACCTTGAGACAGTCAACACAGAAACGCGCGTAGAGGTTTGTGTGGACAGCTCGACCCATGCCTTCGATAACAATCAAATCAACCTGAAATAAAAATCTAGAATTGTGGGTCTACGGATGGCGCTTAGCAATTTAAAAAACGTCGAAATTGGTTCGATGGAAAAATTACGTCCATACATCTTGGATTGAGAAGTGGCATCGTAAGAGTCAGTGACCAATTGTCACAGGGGACTCTTCTCTGAACTGATTTATTCAAGTATATCATTCTTCTACACATCATTGGTCAATTACCACAGATACTGACAGGTTTTGAAAAGAGAATTAATGTGGTAACGATGTTGCCTAATCAAAAATGTAGAGGAAGTAGCGATACCTCATCCCGAAGCAATGATTTTGAGCATCTACGAGCGCTTATGGGAACAAAAAATGGTGAATTGCAAAAATGTAAACAGAGTTGAACAGATAAGTTAAGTTACGTATATCTGTTAGCCCAAAAAACTTCATTCACCGGAATGGAGCAGTGGTTAGATTGGACAAGACACACTACGCCAATCCTGGCCTACCTTTTCCTGTTTGACCAGATGAACAAGATTGTGCGAGGTCTGTCGTAGGTCAAGGCAAGGAGAGCTTTGTCCATTGTCGACGCACATAAGTTTCCCATTCGCTAAGGCAGTCTGGAGTCGTGGCTCGAGTCCGGCTGCTTCATTCAGCAAGAACAGCAGCTCGCGATACGTGACGTCATTAATTGCGGGCACTATTTGCAGAAATAAGAGGTGGAACGTTCAGTGAATTAGTCACCGATTGGGCATCGAATCATGGGGACCACATCTTTTGTGCTTCAGTAATTTCATGCAACATAAAAATGGGTAGATTTGTGGATAGAGTAGACTCCAGTAAAAATAATTTTACAAAATTCCGAATTACAACGAACTGCATGCAGCAAAATACGTTTCATTAATATTATTATTATTATGATCCTTGACTTTGATTTTTACAATCAATCCGTCAAGATATTCGACTTTAGATAATATAGCCAGAATCAGAGTTAAGTGAAAAGTAACCACAACGGTTTTCTTGAAGTAAATTAGTGGAAAACAAACAGCATAGGCGAGTATCAATTATTGATCTACCAATGCTTGTGAATTTTATTTGGCATACAAGATCCCTACTTCCACTGGATCTGTTGTGACTGTTCACAGGTGACTGCCAACAACTTGGGAGAGACCACGGCGTGAGTGCTTAGTTGGTAAAGCTCATTTAAAAAAAAACCAAACAAAGGAAAGCCAATGCATTCAGCAAACTAGCTTACCCTGCAGTAATTTAGAACTAATCGGCAGTGTATGCATGAAGGATACAAATTAAGAAAATATGAAGTGCCAAGTTTGGTTTAATTTCAACTGGCCAAACAGTTAAACAGGCGCCGAATCTAGTCCATCCAACCTTTCGAACAGTGTCTTAGTGATGCGGTGGAGTAGGAAAAACAAGAAATGCTAGTTAAGAACGTCAACAATTAGTTATTCGTGAACAAAGAAACCATGAATCTTTGAATTAACAAGTCATGCAGGTCCTCGCCTATATGTTTTTTCTCCCAACCTTCCAAACACCTAAATCATGTGAGATTAGGTATTTGAAAACAGGTATTGTGTTGGATATAAATGTGCAATACTTGCGCAATGAATCACATGTTTTAAGGGGACCAACTTAACACACACACACACATGATGCTGAGGAACAACTTTTTAAATACATGCGAGGACCGAAGAAAAGACTCCACCCAATCACTCACCAGAGTTTGCTGTGAGGATGACTTTACTGCCCCAGTCCAAGCACTCGACGACAAAAGGAAGGACACCAAGAATAAGGTCGGCCCCGCTGTTATCGCAGAATACGAGGACGCAGTGGGGCCGATCGTCGGGACGTCGTATTCGCTCGATCCATCGGGCGAAGTCGTCCACAAGCCATGGACGAGGCTTGAAGGGACGAAAAGAATGGTCAATGAAAAAGTCTTTTAAACGAAAGAAAGGTGTAGGGAAACTGGATCCCACGTGATTTCTTAAATACTTGCAACATGTCTGGAACGGCAAGAGCTTGATGTGTGGACGTGTTGTTTGTTGACACACAAAGATGGGAAAAGGCAAGGGGGAATAAAAATTAAACTTACAAACGAAATGCTACTACTTAGAGATGCAATTTTTTTAGAAGGGTATATGGTCTGGCAAATTATTCCCTTCACCATCCTTTGTCTCGTAGGCTTGCATTTACAATAATTTTGCATGATTACCATTCAAAGGTGTGCATATCAGAACATTTCAGCACACATGCAATACCAGGAGACGTCAACGGATCCATCTGCAGAGCCAGGTGGCAGATTGGGTGAGGACGGCTTCTTCTTAAACGTGTTATTAATAAAGACAACGAGACAGGAAATGAAGAGATGATCCGTACACCTATGAGCAACTGAATTAAGTCCTCTACTTGCGTAAGGTAGAAAACACACGACCTTCAATGTATGCAGATAAGCTAATCAGAATGCATACTCCTATAAAAATTAACTCAACTGCACAAAACTCGCAAATGGGGCATGGGATGGTCCCTCATAATGAACCCTGAGCGATCTGTTGGTTAGTGACACCGGCAGACAAAAGTGGCTGATTGAGGAAAAAACAGTTTGTAATAGGCCAAATGCTATTTGGTGCACGCAAATTTAACGTCAGCAACGAAGAGTGTTTCATGAAACAAGAGCCACCCCTGTTGAGGGCGCAAAGTGCCTGCTCCCAGCGCAGGTGAGAAGGGAAGCGGAATAGGGGCTGACGATTGCGCTTTGCACGCTGGTCACGTGCTCGCACTAATTCAGGGGCTCGGCATGGGCGGACCACGTGAGTTTAAGTTCCCACCATGGGGCTGCCTCAAATAGGTCGTGCAAACGCCGCTCCGAGGCCTGTCGCACCCACCCAGCTGACCGCCTTCCGTCGTCAATTTGATTCACCGGGTCACCGCTTTGTTACGCAACATCGCTTGGGGCAGAGACTCCGCGCGATTCGAGCAGTGCTAATATCAGGCCTTTACTCCTTGAAAAACGTCGAGGGATGCAAAAATATTAATAAATTTGTTAATTTGTTACAGCAAAATGTAGGCCTGAACTAGTTCATAGGAAATAGCCATTTATAAGAAGCCATAAATGTAAGTGTAATTAAATTAAAGGGAAATGCCATGTGAATTGAAAGCTTTTGAAAAAAACGTGAAAAGAGAAAGGCATCAATATGAACTTTCGTTAAAAGAAAGCAAGGGGAATTTGTAATCAAAACCACGCAATAGTAAAGCAGTGATGATGGGTTGCGGTAAACCACTACAGACGTCCACAATTAAAAAAATTAAATTCTAATGCGAAGTGACACCATGTGACGTTAATAAATTTGGAACTCAGTGAAAAAGAGGTTCGGACACATTGTGGTAGGGAAAAGCGATTAAGTAGTTTTAAATTATAAAAACCCACAAAGTGCAAAATAGTGCATTGCATAAGAAAAACAAAGTCTCACGTACTGGCACAAACACTGCTGTTTGTTTGGCCAGAGGAGGTCAGAACCAGTAAAGAACGGAGGAGCCCGGAAACTGGAGCTGCAGCCTTAATTGCATCGCGGCTACTGCCAGCAAGCCGAAGCCTGGGAGCATTGGAAGTGGCGAAAACTCACCCACAAACCGGGGCTTCTGCCCGGTGTGCGCATCACTTCCAAAAGCGATGCACACCGACGCGATGCCACCGAAAAGCACTGCAGAAACTAGAACCTAACTTCTAACGGTTCTGAGGTGCTTTTTTAAAGCCACATACTGTTAAAGAGGACGGTGTTACAGTTAAAACGATCCCCCAAAATTACCAAAGTACACGTCCTTGACTTTAAACTTCAAAAAACAGGTTTGACGCACTGCACTACGGGAGTCATGTGACTGCGCGGGCTTACAAATGCCAAGGCACGTGACGGGGAAATTTTCGGCATGTGCAGTAGGGATAAGCCAAAATTTCTGTCCTCGAACGAGAGTAAACAAGGTACAGTGGTCAATAAACGCGACTGGGTGTTCGTTTTATTGAAGCAGAAAATCTAAAGCAGCCTATATTACAATAAAAAATGACTAAGAAAAGTTAGGAGGGTTTCAAGAATACGACAATTCAGGATTATCCTGGTTTAGCTCATCCAAGCCATCTACCAACAAGGAAGTTCAGTACATCTTCTGCATGGCAAAACCTTTGGTCCAGCAACGAATGGTTTCCTAAGTTATTATCATGAGACCTTGGGGTGGCAGAATCGGTGCGAGAGCAAGGCAGCACCTGACACGGTGTTGTTCTCGCACCTAGTGTGGTGTGTATCACCTGAGAGGTGCACGCGGCAAACCGAGTGTCGTGACCCCCTCGACGTCAGCCCAGCTCGCGTGCATCGCTGCAAACACCTGTGGTTTCTTCGGACCGGTTTGCGGTACCTTGCAGTAAGCCTTCGCGACCTTGTGGTGGTGCACGACGCTCCGTATTCGCGGGAGACTCGTTTGTCGTTGAATTTTCGCGCTACTTTTGCTCTCAAATGCCCATCACAACAAAGCCACAGCCATTGGAGTGCGCTGAACATGCCAATGTAGATCTCTCAGCTAAAGCTAATCACAATCTGAAACCACTGAGTCATCCATTGAGGTTGATCCAGTTGCCTACACAATGCCTCCCTCCGCTGGCATTGTGGCGATCGCAGTGACGCCTTTCTACTAACCCATACAATCAACAGTGCTGACAGATCTGCGAATTTGCCCTGCATGTGTGTACTAAAATCGTCTGAAAATGGGCAAGGCTAATTAGCCTGCGTTTGGTCCTGTGGACTAAAGTGCTTCAGTGCAACACAAAAATTAGGCAGTTTTGTAGCGTAGGCGCTGATTTTCATTGTTGGAGTTGGCAAAATTAATGTCACATTTATGCTTAATATTTGGTGACAACAAATAAGAGTGATAGGACTGCAGGAAGAAACAAGAAAAAATGAATAATAAAGAAAGCTATTTACTGGCGAGTTATAATTATGTCCAACGCAAACACACAATCCATGTCCACGTAAAAGTGCGAAATCATAATTCGCGCAAAGAAAGTAATCACGATTGACTGGCTCAATATTTCCGTAAATATACCACACGATAAAAAAAGTTGTGCGTAATAACCCCTAGCAGTGACATGGATTAATTAGTACCAAAAAGAAGGCGATTGCACTACCAGCGTTAGATATAATTATTTGCTCCCCCGGAGTGTTTTATTGTCAATTTGTCATAACCAAGTGAGAAAGCACAACGGAAACCTATGGACTTCAGTCCCGGGGAAGTTCCAGAGGTTTTGAATCAAGCAGATGCAGATTTCCGTGAAAAGAGAAGAAAGTATGCAATCGTGGAGCGTGAAATGGTTGCATAGACAATCCAGAAACCGACGCCACAATGGAATTGGCCAGAAAAATGCAACAGAAGGGCCCGTGGGTTTTAGCTCCCCACTTTCTCGCAGACCTAATTGGTTATAAAAGAGTGTACAACCAAACGGTTCCTATCGTTGGTGATTTCTAACCAAGATGCGTACTTAACGCCTACCATCAGAAGAAAGCTATGCTTTTTTTTAAAAAAAACAAGGCAGTACTCCAACTGTTGCATCGTGAATGGCACTTTCGTGAAAAGAGCGCCGCCTAGGGTGTAGAAAACCAGAGACTACGACAAAATGACGAGATGTCAAGCATCGCAGAAGCGGCTACACATCACTTTGTAACACTTGTGGTACAAAAAGAGTAAACATTAAGATTTACTGCATTTCACAAGGTTTCGCATCGTGTGTCGGACACGAAAAGGGCCGTCTTTAACAATAAAAAAATCAGGCTCTAAGTTGCTAAAGTGTTTGTTGATCCTTACCACGTCTTCTGGACAGGCATTTACCAAGCATGCGTTTAACAAAGTAAAACTGAGCCTCAACGACGATGTTCAAGATGTGGCCATTCTTAGGATTTTTGGGACTGGGTTAATGATTGACTGGGGCGGTGCGACGGCAGGCACAACGGCGCAGGGTGTGCCGCCGACCTTATTAAACCAGCTTCTCAAGATACATCACGGTAATATTATTAGAGACAATTCAAAATAAGGAATATGTAATCAACCATACATCATGTTTGGCCACTCTTAAAATCACGAAATTCGGGAATACCGTTTCGTAAAGTCAAAATGAACGACTCAGATTGCATTACTTCCTCAACGCATTTGTTCTGACACAGATGTTTGCGGACAGGGAGACATATGATATCTGATGTTACTGAATCAAAAACAGTTGAACCAGTTTATCGAAAGAGTTAGGAATTGTAGTGAGTTTGAGCACAAGTCTCAATTTTTCTTAGCACTTAAATCTTACAACACAGAAACACTTAGCCAATGTGCAAATGTAAGATTTTGCATTGCTTACAGATTGAGAGCAGAATTTTGGGTTAGGTACAAGTGATTAAACACGGTAAATTTACTCTTTTTTTTTCATTTATTCGCGAATTTCCACATCGTCCATAAAGGCTCAGGCCACCACATAGACGGAATAGCGCTTTGTTGGTCGTCGTGACAGCCGTCACAAGTCGCGACTGGGGTGGGGGAGCGGCTGGCCAGACGCCACGCGCCCTGCGACGCGCCGCGGGCAACCCCACCCCGCCTTCGGCCGGGTTTGCCATCCCGGCGAGCGGTTTTGGCACATGACGGTCACGTGACGGACAATGGCATGCAACTCTGGTTTGGATAGCGTTTGCAAACAAATCGCCACGAGTGCGAGATCAATGGGGAAAACTATGGCGCTTCTGTCGGAAACAAACTAATCAGTAATTTGATGAAATGGAGTAAAAGTCATGGGTCAAAAAATCCCCAAAATAGGTCGATTTGTTGATGACAGAGACGGCTCAGGTCAAATGTCGGCTCAGAACCGACATATCTCAAGTAGCAGGGTGCTCATATGAGAAACTGAAATTTACAGACTAACCTGAAGTTTTGCAAGAGCCTTCTCAAAACTGGCCATTCCCTCGACGGAGTCTTGGGATTGCATGAAAAACCGCACGGCCTCCGATGCGCCCCAATCGAAGATGTTCCCGGTGAGAACACCCTGAGCCAGAGCCATCTGCCTCTCCTCCCAGTTCAGCTCACCAAGTCTTTCCATAATGCTCGGGAAACAGGAGAGAGCCCATGAATTCTCGGCCTAAAGTTCACGCGAAATACTGCAGATGCTACGCAGAATTATAAATGCACTCCAAAAGGCATGCGTAATCACACACAGGGAAGTGTGTTACATCGAGTTTTTAGCCCGACTGATAAGACTTGTCGACCCTAAAATTTCTACTTTGATGAGTTCATCTTACAAACAGCTGATCGGGAGTTTGGCGTGCTGACTTCGTGAGGGCTACAATGGCTCAAATGACGCTAAATGGTGCAATGAGCTCTTGGAGCGCAATTAACTGCTTGAAGGCGATTATCTGAAACGACGGTTCCACGACTACTTTGGAGTTACAGGAATGCAAAACAATTGTGTTTTGAATATAAAGAATGAATCAAACTTCAGGCATTATTTTTGATAAAAATTGAGAGAAGTAGAAACAAGAATTCAGTGAAACGATTGAGCTTAGGGCAGGAGCTGGTGCAAATCATTAAGTAGTAAGGCAATTACCGAAACATTTTCCGCTTGTACGGGTATTCGGTGTGCATTTTTGTGTTTGGCCTGATAACAGCTAAAGTGCATGAAGCATCGTAAGGAGCCATGCGAATGAGGAAATCTTTCGACTTTGAAAATACGCACTTGAGATAAATTAAGTTGACTGCAGAAACGAATTATTTAATGGTGGGATTGCTGGGTAAAATGATTTCCACGAACGGATTATATTTTGATTCAAGAATAGATAAAAGGTCCCATTTGTTGTCCAAATACATCTTCAATGTCACTACCACACAATTGCACATATAAGTGACGGTCAACATGGTGAAATGCATTTGCGAAATTGGCAAGTTGACCTATCCCCACACTAATACTTTGGTGAATCAAGACATGTCGCAGTGAAGGAAAGAAGGCAAAAAACATAATGCGATGATATTGCGAGGTCTTTGAGAGCATAATTTTAATAATTACACGGGGTTTTGCAGATTTGCGACAGGGGAAGGCAGCAAAATGGGTAAACAGGGTATCAAACAGGATTGGGTTTGCAGAATTGTTTAATGGGTAGTACTGCCAAACCCTGCGATGGCATTCATAAAACGGAGCAACATTAGCCTTGGACGCCATTCCCATTTACATTAAAAACTAAATGCAGCAATTTACTCGACTTATTCAAACACGACCGAGTTTCGGCTCTTCGAAAATTCGCCCAAGATGACATTTCCGTGGGTAGATGTAAATCAGCACTTAGAAGTCGTAAATAAATTGAAGAGTTCGATGGCCTTCACGTGGACGATTTCAAGACGACAACTATCATTTCTTTTAGTAAATCCTTACTGCCTGTCGGTTAGTTGGACAGACAAAATTCTCAAAAGAGCCACTGGCGTTTTGTAACTTGTGTAAAACCTAAGAAGATTATAAGTTTAAAATGGTCCTCATGGCGGAACATGGACGAAGAGTAAAAAACCACACATATTGAATCAGTGGGCTGCTTGAGGTGATGCCGTGAAAAAGCGCATCAGCGCCCGGCCAGTGTTCGTCGGGTCACCCCGACGGCCGCCCTGAGACCTCGCGCCGTCCGTCGAGCGCCACCGCCCACGCAGGATGAACGCGTCGCGCGGCCTACCGTTAGAGAACTTTTGGTCAACTCGGAACTCGAATTTCCGGCTAATAATTGCTTCAGAAAAGAAACCTTAAGGCTAATTTTGCGTGAGGAACCATCAGCCGATTCGTGAGACAGACGAATGCTTTGGGTTAACAGCGATTGGCACCCAAGCACTACAACAGCTTCGGTAGACGTTTGCGGTGCATATTGCATGTCTGAAAAGCCTTGCCATTAACAATGCTGCATAGGAGTATTTTGGCGAGAGCCCTCGGCACTAAATTTTGGGAGGACCAGAATAAGATTCTGCATTGAAAAAAAAACAGCCTCAAGAAAGCACTAAGGAAATATCGCTTCTAGCTCTATCAATTATTGCTGCGATGCGTTGTAAACGAGTACAGTGCTTGGGCAGGTGGGCCTTTTTATTCATAACGAAGCACGAAATTTAAATTTGTATTTGCACAGGTGAGAGGAACCACAGAGATTGTTAGGATACCTAGTAGCTAAGTGATGCCGGTATGGCCATAAGACTAATGAGAATACCCGCTTTTGCACACAGAAAGCATCTGGAAAGCCGAATTCCCGCAGCAAGTGTTGCTGAGCCTCAAGGATGCACCGAACTGTGAGAATACCTCGACCGCTTGGGCGATCACTAAGTTCACTGAGGAATTGGACGTACCGCTCCGCGAATTGCCGGGCGCGCTGCTTGGAGCCGTGCGGATCGGACTCGGCCTGACTCTCCTCGGCCTTTCGCCTCAACCGCTCCACACCTTGCTGAAAGAAAACACCACGCCACCTAGACCTTTTGCTCAGGCAACTACTATTGAATTACAGTAGGATGACACAACAGTAAATAGAACAACCATGCAACTAGCAATGAATGATTATAGCATGCGTTTATATGGAGCACAAATATCGTCTCCATGTGAAATAGGATGAATTGTCTAAGAAATAGCTCCTGTAATTGGCATGTTTTTGTTCTAATTTCAGTTCTTGCCGTCCAAACGCAGTCCGTGCATTTGTTTCAAATGAGCTTGGGACAAGGTCATTGTTAAAAATTGCACCAAATTTAATAAAACAAAGAAATTATTAATGATTTACGTACTTATCTGGAGGAAGGTCTTGTGTCCTTACCTTGAAACACCCCAACCAGTAAACGCGCGCTTTATAATCCTGCGTTAGGTCCCATGTATCGGGTACATAGTCTGCAGAGGAGAGCAGCAAGGGAAAGGGTTCAAGTGACATGTCGCCGAGATGTTCCAGTTCAAATTCGGACAAGGCTAGCCCCTCCGCATTAGAAAAAGCGGGAATTGAACCGCGAGAAATGAGCGCGGTTGCGTAGCTCTCGGCCCAGCGCTTTGACGTGTGCTTTCCCACGCCCTCCCCTGCCTCTCCATTTGTATGACCCGTCTCCTGTTGTTGTCGTGACTTCATAAAGGCACCAACAGCACCCAAATAACCTTCGTGACGCAAGAACATGGCCTTCATTTCACCTTGGGACCAATAATTTACGGCAAAAGAAATTACCTAAAAGCGAATGTATACTAGGTACTGAAATGTATTAAGCAGTCATTATATAAGGAATGATACACTTACCTCCATTGTGAGGCGATGACCACGAATAAAAAATCCCCCAAAAAGGATTCGGCGGACTCCATTTTGATGGGCGTAGAGGCATGCCAGTTGACCGATGTTGCTAAATCGAAGGGCACCAAAGTTGAGGCTATTTAACTAGGATTAAGTGATAAATATAAAGAGAGGAACAGTAGCTTTGGACAAAGTATATAACCGGTTACAACTAAGCGGTGATGACCAAGGCTTTGAATGTGGATTTCAAGCTAAAATACTGTTGCTCTCTGCCTAGCAAGTTCTCATTGATTTAGAGAGAAAGACTGCAAGGCCATGACTTAAGATGCTAAATAGAAAATGAGGCCGCAAAAGTAATTGATAACAAAACGAACGAAATCAGCTACGGAAAACTTCGATCACTTCTGTTTACTGCTGATTCAACAAACAGGCAACAATCGTACAAGTTGGCGGTTAACAACAAACGACTCTGAACATCTCGGCATCGCTTCATTCCGTGCCAACTTATTGGCGCTTAGTGGCGACCCAGATCCTCTCGCACCCTTGCCCGCTGTTTGGCGCTTTAGCTTGCCCCCTGCGCGGCCACCTTTAAGTGAGATCACGCAGAGAGCTATAATGCATCTCAGGTTAGAGTACCGGATAGGAGTTACACCTTAACCGGCTTGGTTTTGGTCACATGCGCATAAATACGTTGTTTTTAGAGATTCAAAATAGTTATCCATCTCTATAACGAGGAAAATCGAATGATCTGCAGTTAAAAAGGTGTTTACGATGCACGTTATCTCGGTTTATTTATCAATGTAATAGAACTCAAAGTATAGCAGACCAGGCGGTACTTGTGGCAAGCGTAGGCTCGTTGTTTCAATTATTGCAATTATGACAATGCACGAGGCCACGAGCGATTTAGCCACATACTGACCAAATAAGGCGAACAGTACAAACAACTTAATAGCACACGTAAGGCATTAAGGTTTCGGGAAATTGAGCAGCTGAGAATTATTAGATTACAGTCAACTGGATCTTCACTGGAAGCTAAAGGGTGGAAACTAAAACCAAAAGAGTTGATAGGGGCCTAGCGAACGGGGTAAATTAAAGCTAAATGATAGTCACTCCCTTGCTGAAAGTCTGTTGTACCAATGTTTAGGATGAATACCTCCATTTTTCACAAGTACATAAGTCCTTCGTTTTTAAATGCCTGTAACCCTCAACAATGTCATTTAGAGATTATAGGCATTAATTTATCGAACAATTTTGGAAGATAGAAAAACAATAAATGAATTTATGGCATACTGCTAACCAATGATTCTCAAAAATAACATTCTGGAATGCTTAAGTACATTGGCTATGGGCGCACAAAGTTCAATATGGTTGAAGGTCTTCGTTAAAGAACATCAGTAGCACATGCAAATGGCAATGTTTTTTTTAAAAAGCCATTCATACCAACTTGTGGCGGGGGTGGAAGAACACTTGGAATTTGGAGGACCCCACAGCCCTGCGTCAAATCCGCATCAGCGCTCACAAACCACGCAAGAAACTAATTTAGGTGGCTTCAAGCAAGCACAACTTGAAAGGCGAATCGGCTACTTTGGGATAACATTCCGGTGGTGCAATAAACACAATCTTCCGCTAACACAAAATTACACTGTACCTTTATAAAAGAGGTGCATATGTTTATACATATTTTTTTTAAAAACTCGTCCCCGACATACATTTAAAAAGATAAAAGAATCTACATTGCAAAATGGATACGGCGACTGATATACGAGAATTCGAAGCTACGTGATGGTCGAAATTGGAAGCTAGTGCCACGAGAATACCAGTACAGACAAATCAACAATTTTACATCATAAAGTTTTGCTCTGATATGCAATTTCAAAGAGGTGGACCATGGTACCAAGTGGGGAGGGTTGGCGCCTAAATTTGGAAAAGCAAACAAAATCAGAAGTCCCTACCTAATTTTCGGATGATGACTGACGCCTGATAATACGGAATTACGTAAAGACTCCTTTGTCATTATGCTATAGAGACTTGCCGACATGGAAGTGAAACCGCATTTCATTGTGTTAGGACTGTTGAATTGCAAGTACTTCAGGTAAAGATAAAGGATTAGCGTTCGCGCGTACTGCACTTATAAAATAAACAAAGTAGCAAGCTTATAATGAGCTATTCACTTGATCCAGGTCCGGAGAAGTAAAAATATAAACAACTGCGTTTATTCAAAGTCAGTATGGAATCCGCATGTCTAATTTGCAAACAAATTGCTAGCTGAGATGTAAACAAAAGGAATGCAATACTTGGGTTCAAACATGCTCCTGTACCGAACTGCATTAGCTGTGGAATGAGGTATTCAGATTTTGAGCGCACATAGTTGGTCGGTGATGATCAGCGGAAATTATGCTATACTAAGCCGAGTACCTTCGAGCAATGATGCTGAACCAAAGAATGCATTTTAATTTTTTATCCGACAGGACAAGAAATATATTACTAACATACTCTACATTAAGCTAAGTCAATCTTTTTAAAAAAATAACAGCTCATATGAAAACGATTGCTTTGGACTATATCGGTAGTTTTATCACCTCCGTGTTTCCGATGCGTAATTACTGCTGTTTTCAAATGAACGACTCTAATACCAACTTTTTCAAATCATGTGCGAATTTTTAACAGAACGCTGCACAAGTCCCGTGAATGGTGCCGCTATATTAGAAGGCGTGCCGAAGTGAGGGCACGTTCAACACACAGATGGGCGGTGGGTTGAAAGCAAACGAGCTCGGATTCCACGTAATGCATTGGTTTTCATTAAAAGTGTGTCAAATTCTATTAGAAGGATGCAAAAAATGTTGCCCCCAACCATTAAATCATCAAAAGTGAAAATAGGATTCGAATAAAGGACACCTAATAAGCTCTGGCTCGCAGTTGTGAATTGACAAGAAAGCATGCCTGGATTGAGGACTAAGGTGACAGCTGAGAAGCGAAAATTGGCCAATTTACACTATCTACATATCAAGATAAGCGCCCAAAGTCCAAAACAAAGGGTTGCCTTCGTTTCAATTCACCAAATGTTAGATACAACGCGAAAACATCCCGTATTCTTCTGAATTTTTAAGATGACCTCCTTCTAAAATGGATTACTAATCCAATCGTCTATAGAAAGCTAACTACTGAATCACCGTTCGCCACGTGCATAAACATCGAACTTTGTCAAAAGACGGGTACTTGGCTCTAAATTGGGCAACAAGTCGAAGACACCTATTGTGTGCCATTATTGACAGAAATACACTAGAGAACAAAACCTCTGAAAAAATTAGTCCGCAGTGCAACATTTGGCGTGCTGCTCTTCGTTTAAGTGTTCTGTTGCTTGTGATTGCAGGTGAGTGTCAGCTAGAATTGGCTACATACGAAGTTAGCGTCCTGGACAGCTTTGAGTGATAGTAAAAACTTTGCACGCAAATGCATAGTCATGTGGTAAGGTTTAATGCGCGACTGTTTAATTTGATTAAGGGGATTGCTAACTTGCTGACAGCCACGAGTAATGCCTTGACCATATCGGCAGGCCGCCTTGTTTCATTGGGACGACGCGCAGCGAGGCCGAAGGAACTGGCGATCACGTCACCCGGCAGACCAAGGGATTCATAAGCACCACCGTAGATATCTTTGACCAACATGTCAACTTGTCGATGATCACCCTTATCAGCGAGGGCAAGCAATTCGTCAAACGACATTTGACCTAAAGTTGAGTCATAACCTTTTGATTAACTCAACCGGACCCATAATACCGACGCCTAGCGTCTACTCCACCCCACTTCAAGAAAAAGTGAAGGAAACAGACATTTAGGTAATGGACCACGTTACATTATTAGATTGAACTTATTTCGGCATAGAAATAAACCACTTAATGATAAGATTGTAGCAACCACAAACGTTTGGGAATGAGGGCCAACTACTCAAAAGTGGTAAACCAATCAATTCTCGTCTTTTCAAAAGATTTTAATTACTATTCCGTATCCGGTCACCCCATCACAGTTGCTACACAAGTTCTGGGATTTCGGCATTCTGATGAGGTAACCAGACTTAGTAGAAAGAAATCAAGCTAGGGGTGAGCATGTAAACAAAGGAAGTAAAAAGGAATGCAATTACAGTGACAAGTGATTCAGCTGGTAAATTGAATTTGATACATGGTGTGAAACTGAAATGACACTTGATTTCTGAACTAAGAAGCAATCAAAAGTGTAGATAGTGGTCTGGAAAAAATATATGTATCAAGTGTAGCGCACAACATTTTTTTCAGTACAAAACCCACGAGTCCACGTCGCTAACGTAAAATCTGTCGATTCCATACGCGAGCTTAACACTAAAGCTAGAGATTAGAGATGCCATACATACACACATTATCATAGTTTCTTACCACCAGCAAGAAGACTTCCAATGCCCCAAAATGTTCCGCCACCAAGGGAGGTTCCACCAACCCGATGGTACGAAGCATCTGCCTCAACCTTAAGAAAACTGACACCTGAACCAATATTGACGAGTAGAAAGGGATAGGTATTCACCATGCAGGAAGAAAGGAATATTTGGGCCGGCATTGCCCTCTTATCATAGATGAAGACCTCATCCGGAATGTTTCTTAAAAGGAAGGTGCAGCCACTGACAAGGGAAGACATTTCGTCCTCTCGCTCAATTTCAACTCCTGACAACGTCTCCAAAATGTTTGACATATACTTGAAGGCTCCACCACCGGTCACACGGCCAACAAGTCTTATAGTATCCCGGTCAACATCCGAATAGGAGGGTAGTACAGTGCTTCGGATGAAATCCAAACAAGAATCAATAAGACGAGTTTCGAACTTGACGAAGCACAATTTGTGTCCCTCGTATTCATGTTCTCGATAATCGTAAAATTCAAACGGGCCACAAACACTTGTTCGTCGCTTGGAATCAGGATCGGAGAGTTCCTTGGGTACACAGACTTTATAGCGAAAAGTGTGCTGGTAGGCGAGCTTAGCAAGCGAACCGCCTATATCAAGGGCAAAAGCGCACTCCACAATCTTATGTGGGTGTTTTTGGTTTTCTTCTTCTACCAATTCGGCGAAACTGGATATGTCGATAGGCGGGGCATAGGTAGAGTTTGCCATTACTTACTGATGAGGGGAATGAGATTATGAACACAGCACTTCACAAAATATCCTAAAGAAATTAATCTAAAAAATAAGAAAAAAAGCTTTGCTAAAGTTACATGACAAAAAATTAAAGTTCGCTGCTTTCTAAGGTGTTAAATGTTATCAAGTACAAGTGTGAAAAACAAACAGTGACTTTGTGAACGAGCCCAATAGATTTAACAAATCAAAACGAAATTCGCAAAAACTCATTGACATAATACGCAAAAAAGATATCTGAAAGGTTTTGGCATTTTAAGCCTGAGACGGTTGTGAAAAAAGCGCATTCTAGCGCTAAACGTATTTACAACAAATAAGTCCGAAAGAACTGTTGTAAAGAGAAGTTATTTGATTAATTGGGAAAGCAATAATAGACCAATGTAATAAAGAAACAACGAAGATAAAAATATTTTGTCGGCAAAACGGTGATTTTATCGCAAATTAATCCAGTGCAATCGGCTTTGCTACAATGTCGAGGATGGTGAGGACTAGATGGGAGACAGAATATCACAAGCGTGCTGCGCTGATACAGTAGGTTAGTCTTCTGGAAACCAAACATGACTACAGATGAAAAACTCGGAAAGTAAAGGTGATTAGCAAAATAAAACTAGAAAGTTCTTCGGGAGATGGGCCCACAAATAAGCGCAGCAAGTATTAACACACTACATCTGAAGGTTAGAAGCACGGCAAAAAGTTCGTAAACGACCAAACGCAGCATACTGCAACATTACTGGAATCAAATAAGTCCAAGCAACTAACCAATACGTATTCTTTGTTTATTCCCAGAGATCAAAACCCAAAATTTCATTATTAAAAACCCGAATACAAGGCATAAAACGTGGTACCATACAGTTCTATTTGCCACATTTTGGAGACGAGAAACATCGCGACAGCCGTGCAAGCGTTCACTAAGCTATATTTGACGTTAAACCGGTTAAATTGGAAAAAGATTCATGTGAAAAGGACACGCAACGAGATTATGCATTTGTCAAGACTAAAATTGGATGAATAAAAATAATTACCAGAAAACGTCTAAAACAATATAAAAGGAAGGCAACACGAAACCAACCAGCAAGACCTTACTACAAAACCTGAAAACCAACCGAGACAAACCAATTACCACAAAATCACTCCCCCTCAAGACATGACCTTGAATTCACGCATCAATGGTTTTAAATAAATTTGTTTGACCATTTAATTTGTCTTACAACTTAAACTTCCTTAACAATTATTTACAAACATAGTACAAATTTTACACAGACATGCAAACAGGGATTCTGTATAAAAGGAAAAACTTGCAGGATGCAATAAAATCGTTTAAACCATTCTTTTAAAACTAATAACATAGTTTGCCAATTAGGCCCTCTATTCAAGTATAGAATACCCGAGCCCAAGTATAAATAAGACTGGTACAACAGAATAGGCTTCATTGACCAATCACAAACCAGAACCACAGGTCAGGCGCCCTCCACCCGAGTCCACTGTAGCGTGCTTGGTCATGATCAGAAGGCGTATGGACGAATAGAAAGTTTACTGGTACAAAAATATCAACGTAGGTCTCCGGTATCGGGGTTCCGGTTCTAGTGTTCACAAGGGGTTTCTTATATACCGGGTTCAGGCTGTTCCTTCCGCTCATAGGCTCCTGCTTGGCTTCTAGAAATAGAAAGACAATCTCGTGAAGTGATTAGCTATCCGGGCTTTGGCGCCCCATTTGAAACTTAAATACTCCTCGCAACCTGAAATCACGTGATGCCACCCCCACGGCGCGCCACTGGCTCTCAACCAATGGCTGGATGCCAAGATGGCGTCTTTCTGCCCCCACGCCACACCACCACGCTGGCCACTCTGCTCATTATATGCTGCTTCTCATTCGAGATATTTTCTGGTTGGCTGCCTATTGTCATCACATGCCATTGAAACGCAGAGAGACGCAGACTCAGCTGAGGTCAGCTTGGTCCAATATGTCTGCGCCCACAGACGTCGTCACACATGTTTAAACACATTGGATCTTGCAATCTAATATAAAATCACAGCATGTCATGCAGTTTCAAAAAATAATTAGTCTTCTGTCAAATTTGCTACAAAGCCTTTATTTCCTTATTCGATATATTAAAACCACATCCAATTTGTAAGTTCAGTATATGCATTATTAAAGGCAGAGTTTATTTTCCGATATATGTCATGGGGATTTTAAAGTATCGCCAAATTATTCAAATCAGACTCTTGTGTAATAGGGTTCAGATTGGAAAATATATACAAGAATTTGTCCTAAAATCATTGCTGGAACCGCAAAATCTACTGCTTCAAACTGGATTCACCAGTGAAATGTCGTTTAAACATATGATGTTTCTGGGAGAATTGGCAGGAAAAAATGTAGCTATTTATCTTTTACAATAAAAATACTATACAGTTACCTTATGAGTCCACGCTGTATTGCTGATTACTTAATTGAAAATGGCTGGCATAATGTTTTTCATCGTTCTTTGAAATTTAATCTCTTGTTTTATTCGCCACATTATTTAGCCGCTATTTTTGATGATCTCAAACTGATTTGTTAGCGTCATATAATGTCTAAGGATTTATCAAATGACAATATCATTCGACATTTCGTTAAGCACACGGAAGACTCTAACCTGCGAAGGGCCACTCTTTTTAAGGCGAGGAAGAATAAGAGCCTATTCGTAGCCTTCTGTGCCGCTGCCTTTGCCGTGGGTTCCTGTATCCTTTTATTTATAACATTGTTTCAGCTAGAGGACGTTCAAGTTAGGGTTTTTTTCCTAAGTTGATATTAGGTATGATTGGATCATTTGGTTATGTGCCTTAATTTTTGCTGAAAAAATAGACCTTTTTTCATTAAATGCCGTCCGTCAAGGCCGATATTTGGATGAATCTTTTGACAAGCTTCCTGAGTCTACAAAAAATCAAAAATAAATTATGTGCTAGTTTTCTTACATCTTGACAAATATATTGTTAATATACAGGTTTGATTATTTTGATGTTCTGGCTGGGGTTGCATTCAATTAAAGTAGCATAATTGCTGAGCCGTGGTTCGCAACCTGACCAGTAGAATAAAATTCCCAGTCGTTTCACTGAGTTGGAAAACCGGCGTATTATGACTGAGATACGGTTGGTTGAACTGGGCAGAGGAATCGAATAAACGTTTCTTTTGTTGAGCATATCCTGCGAGGTTAGTTGTCAAGATCTATAAATTTGTCACGAGTGTCATATATTTCCTCCTATGGCAATTTGGTATAATTTAAGCAGCTTATTGCCATAGTTTGAGAATTTAAGGGACGAAGTTTTTGTCAGTTGTCTTCATATTATCGCTACGCGATGCAGGTAGTTTCGTGTCCCCTCATAAATGAACTGCAGGATTCGTTAATACTCCTGTTGGCGGTTTTAATGCTTACGATGTGAGCATATTCCGTAAACGCACACCAACTACGGTAATTCTGTCTCCTCTATTAGTTTGTAAGGGCTTAAGGTAACGAAGTTCGTAAATATTTCTTGAATGAAACGACTAGGAGGAAGGCATGCTGCTTATGATTTTAACCGACGCTTTTTAATTGCTTTCCACTTCATCTTGCTTTAAGGTGGCTTCCTCGCGTTTATAACTACGTAGCTTGTTGCTACCTTTATATCACCATAATTTCAGTCATTAACGTAGATAATCTTGACAGTTTGGGTTTTTGGATTTTTTAATAATTCAACGTTCAACTTTCGCGCTGAATGCTTCGAGAAAACGGGACTCTTTCGCAATTGGAATCATCATTCTTGAGTTTTAGATTCGAATAACGCTAAATTATCACACTGATTATAAATATGACGCCATCTTTCAGTGGTCTACACTCAGTTCTGGGGGTTGTCGATTTTTTGTCGCACTTCAGTTTATGTGTGAAATGACTTATATTTGGTTAAGGAATCGGAGATAACGTCGGTGAAAACATCCTTGGTTGTGTAACAAATGGTTTAAGAGAATCTAAGTTTTCCATTAATTGCGATACTGTGCAGAATCGTTTCCCGAGAAGATGGGTATTTAAGCACGTAGTTGTCACCAGTGCGGATACAACCGAGTGTTGGGTACTTTTGTCACTTATTTCCTTACCTATAGTACATTTGCAGAAGTGATGAGTCTCTGCTTGCCAATGAATGACAGAAAATTTCTTCGACATTTCCTCATTAAATTTTACTTTTTTGAGAAGGTCGATTGTCAAATTCTTCTGCATGTTGCAGTTAAACGTTACAGACCCAATAGTTCTCAAATGGGCATAAAGCCCCCTTTTCTGAAAAATGTATCTACTCGTCTATAGCAGAGGTTGCATTTCATGTGCTTCGTGAATATTTGCAAGTCGCGATTGTCAATCAAGCTGTACCCTGACTTGTGTCGGAACCACTGCCAGGTAGCTTCCAGTCGTTCTAAAACGACCGTTGGTTTTTACAGCTAGTTATGAGGCAGAAAGTATGTTTCGTATTCGACGCTTGACCCACACTCCTGTTAGTTCTCTTAAGAAAAAGAGCCGTCAGTTCAAATGCCTAAGGAAAGCAAATGACCACGTGACTAATCATTTAAATGTACGTGTAGGAGACGGGCTAGGGCGGCGAAAAACGAACTCGCCAGTTGCATTTTATTATCGAATGATAAATCGTTCAAAACGTCAAAACGCAAGTAGTGGAGCGGTGTGACTTCCGTTCACAGTTCACGATGACTGTATGAGCACGCAGGACCACAGAAGGCATATTTCCAAGAAAACAGTTATCAAAAATACCAACTTTTCATGTAGACCAAGGTATATCTGCCGCTTGGTATTTTGTGCTTGCAACCATCAATGTATTTACAGATTGCTGCACTTCCACCTGGTGATGATTTAATTAAATTTAATACCAGCTGAGGGGCAGAATGGTTGCGGTTTATGTTTTTCCACAGATTTTGAACCCCCATCAATAAGTGCTACCACCTTAAATTAAGTAGCAAACGACAGTGCATCGAAGGTATGTTTATTTTGGTTGTACCAGTTTGGTATGAATGAGCATGCATGGTTTGCGTTTGAATATGCTGTCACCGAAGAAAATCACATAGACCATGATGACGATGAGAGATGCCATTTAGAAAAAATAAGTATTTATATGGAGTGAGACGAAAAGACAAATACCATTGGAAAAGTGGGCGGTGTCACAAAATCACCCGATACTGATGCAAGTAACAAACAAACCTACCACGGCGAGTGATGTAAATGCAAAACGTGGATTTGCTGCAAGGACTGGAAAGAAAAATCACGGCTGAGAAAGATCGGAGTCAGAAGAAAAAAGACAGACCCTCAGTAATTGTAGTGGGCGTGACACAAAGCACCGTCAAAGTGTGAAAGACCAAAGGGGATTCGCCAACGGAGCTCATACCGATAGTGACCCCACAGAGCAAACAACCACAAAAACGGGTTTCTGTGGTAGAGAGAGGGGTCGCACACTTTACCGTCAGCGCTGACGAACACACTTAAGGAGAGATTAGGCTGACTGCAGAATTATACTGGACATTCTGATTAAGTAGAGCGGTTTTTCCAACTGCATGGACGCGTTAAGGGGGGTGGATGATTGATTTACACTTTGGTTTGTCTGTTGCCCAGTTGGTTTAAAAAGCGTTTCCTCCGTGCTTCTTGTACCATCGGTGTCAGGACATTCAAAGCCAGACTTCCCAAAGAAATACTCCCACCACGTTAAAGGCTCACACTCTTCGAATTCTTTAGAAGAACCAAGGAGTCTCGAGCGGCCAGCTAAAAAAAAACGAAAAGAAGTTAGCACGAACGTGAATTACGTGCTTTCGAAGACCGTCATTACAATTTCAAAATGCACGTGTGGATGCAATATCTATGAGAACAACTGAGGTCACATGATGAGAATCTACAAGACACAGACACCAAAATAATAATTGCATCAACAATACTAACTGCACACTGATAAACGGCAAATGTTTGCTGTTTAGAAGACCGAAATCTACGTAAAGCGACTGCACTTCGCCAATTATTGGTGCAACGCACCGAGGTCGCCAAAGTGACAAACTCAAGTGTGCACTTAGAGTTAGCAAGTTACAGGGTTAATACAACTGGAGCCGTTGCAAATACCCGCAAAGCCACTTTGGATGACGCAAGCGTTAACAGTGCTACGAGAACTTAGCAACACCACCCCAATCAGTAATTACGAGCATCGAACAGCCCGGGCTGTGTACTGTATATTTTCATCTTATTGATATTCTGGTATCATCATGTTTTGACTAGTTACGTAAAGCCAGTTTAAGGACTTCACGTGGGGCCTTCCTATTGGATATCGCAAGAACGCGCATGCCGTTTCGGCTATGCGCGTGTTCTAAGAAGGCGCTAGGTCATGCTTCCGAGGCATGACTAAGGGACTTCGGAAAGAGCCGCTTTACAGTATAAGGTTAAATACCGAACTAGGAAGTACACTTGAGTGTCGAAAATGTATGCGAGGGTGCATCTAAAATGTGCAGTTAGGAAGTAAATAAAGCAAATGCGAGAAAACGTTCTTTATAAATCCCAATGACGGGACTAGTCGAAAAAGGAGATTGCAGTTGGCACTCGACGTGTTTAAAGTTCACCATGTCAGTTCTAAACTGATACGCATCCGATGCAAGAGTTTTGCCTGCCCCACCTGAAGACGTGATAAAATAGAACAAAAAAATCTAGATTTAGGGGGGATGGTAGGAGCGCGTCGGCAATGTTTGGATTTACTCAGTGTAACCTGGGTCGAACGCAAACAGGAGCAGAGCATCGTAAGAAAGGCAGGTATCGTATCAGCAGACCACATGGACCAGGTAATGGGTTCGCACAAGCCTCACTAATAGCGCTTAACCTTGGGATTTCAACCATAACGAGAACGGCGCCAGTACGTAAATGCGCCCCGAAGATCACATAGCACATTAACTTGCGGAAGAGACCTGAATTCCGGAAAATGGGTCGACAGGCATGTGTTGTCTACTTAACGGCACCCCAACAACTTTTACGACTTTCAAAACAAAATTATTTTCTCGACGAAATCTCAACATCGAAATCACCACGACAAAATCTAAGTCAAAAAACAGATTGAAAAAGTGACGCATTGTAGTTACGGTTGGAAATAGGTCATTGTGATTAAGTTTGCTTCTACATCACGGAAGCAATAAATTTCCTGCTTACTAGGCACTGCTGGAGTGTTTGAATTTTGGGGCTTCGGTTGGATGTTGCCCTTAAGGTACGAGGTGCGCGCCCATTCGTGCACGCGGTAAATCGATGCAGTGCCAGTGGGAGGCGACCTCATATGGCTCACATTGGGCCCCCTGGCGTAGTCACCATCGGGTCGCGGATTGGAGGGATATGTTTTGTGGTTCTTGCCAGACCACGTGTAGCCAATCTGAAATTAGTGCGGGCACAACAAACTTTTAGTCCAAAATGCAAAAAAAACTATCAAATAAACATGTGTAGTCTGATACAATTCTTCAGATGTATGACATTGCGTGGGTTAAAACTATGTGGAGACTACCACTGGGTGGCTGTAGGCAGTATGTGCCAAAATGTTGAGATTGGAGGACTTCATGGAGAGGGAGCATGTCTATGGCATAGTTCAAATATTTACCTATGATACCCGCTGAGGTGAACCCACAATCTGGATAGGATAGACCGATTATCAGCATATTGCGGTCTGTGTGCAACTGACGGCAGGCTTTGAAAAGTTAAACATGCTTGAGTTTATGGCTATTTTATAGCACGCATGCGAACTACACAAACGCGCCTATGGACTTTTTAAACACATCGTCAAAATATCGCCACCTGGTGAAGTGAGCCGAGGGTCGACAGGTCGCCCACAATGTGTCCCGACGTCGTTGTGTGAACGCGGAAGCTAAGAGAGGAGCCAGAATTCGACTCTGCGTCAGGTTGTCCGGCAAAAAGCGCTGCAAAACAGACTAGGAAAACCATCAAACATGCTGATGAGGTGGAGGAAGAAAAGGAGTTGGAATTCGAGTTGGATGATCTCTTGACCGCGGAAACTGAACTGGAGGTAGAGCTTGTTGTGGGGACGCTACTTGTGAGGTTGGCCTTATTAACCAACTGTTGAAGGTGGCGAAGTTGACTCAGCAGCGACCTATTTGTTCCTTCCAAACCATCCAGACGGCGCTTCAACTCGGAGTTTTCTTGCGAGTATACTTCCACACTAAAATGAAAAAAAATATATACGTGTAGGCGCATTAAAATTAATTGATTTAGTATCGTTTACCCCAGTCATTTGCAACACTTCGAAATCTCTGATAGAGGGGATTTGAAAAGCGAGCCTTTAGAACAAGTCAATGAGCTACGCACATTGGAGACCAAGGATTCGGGGAGGTATTTTGCTTTAGTGTTGTACTGACTTGGAACTTACATGAAATACATTCGTCCAGCAGAGCTGAGAGAACTGGAGCATTGATGGACATGGAAGTGGATAAAATTTTAATGGAAATCATAAGACTAGCGTCGACCCAGTGACCACTCGGTAGTATGGGGTCTGAGTGGCGCTCCGGCAAGTCTGGTTATTTTTTTACGAATCACAACAGGATTGATCACCCCATTGGAAAGCCAAAGCATTAACACGAGGAGAACACAGGTCACATTGCATGTTCAAGTCTCTATTTACGCCTTCAAGTGAGCGGTAAATTAATAAAAATTTACAATAGAAAAATGTTAAGGTGTGAAGGACACGACGTTTCTGTAGAAGTTAGCTAATCCCGATTTTCAAAGTCTTAATCAAGCACGCACACAGAGATCCTTTAGGTATATCCAAATTTCCGAAAACAACCAACTTCGGGTAGTGAACTTTGAAATGAAGAGCGCACATAGCAGGTTCCGCGCAAGTTTAAGACTCAGGTCGGATTTATTCTCGATTATTAAGTGTACTCAAGTTGGTGGAAATTGATAAAAACAGCAACGACAGCGCACGAAAACAGCTACGCCAAGCCTCAACGCGCCGAGTGATAATAGCACCGATAGCGCATAAAAGTGCAGCAATAATGCTGGCCGTCTTTCGTTTATGGGCAGCGCGGACCCGTTCGCGCCTAACGAGCGCGTATCAATTATATTCTCTTATGAGACAATTACTTGACAAAATGATAACTCTAGTGCCAACCCGCAAGGGTCAAGTAATGCCAAGGGTTTGATCCGTGTTTATGAGGCTAAACTCACTACTTGACGTCTAGTCTTGTTCTTTAGATTACACATGTACTCAACTACATGCGATCCTCCACTAAAACGTATTTAATAAGGGAAAGCTTGTAAAAAATCAACCACACATGCTTTATACGCAAATCGCTAAAGTTCCTAAGCTGCATGTTTTTTTTAAAAAAACGAAACACTTACAAACTATTTAAGGGTTTGACGGAAATAATGCAGCATGTGAATGAAACCGAGAAATTTTAACGTCCCATTTAAATCAGATAGTTCTCTAATAAAGAATAAATGACATGATGGTTTACAGAGTTCACAGAAAAACTAGATATCGTGTAAAAAAAATGCTCCTCGGTCAGTGCTGTTCGCAGTCTAGATTAACGGTACAGCAATAAGGAATGTCTTTTTTGAAGGGTGGAAGTCACGACACCCCGACAGCGACACAGAAGGAATCGGTAGAATACTGGACTTCAGGAAAGTTTTCATCATAGTCACAAATACGGCTGCCCTGCGCTCACAACAACGCCTATGCAATAAGTGGCGACAGGGCATGAAGCAGGCGCTGGCCGAGGGTGGAGGGGGGCAGAGTCCCTTTAAACGAATTGCAGTGGAGAGGCAGTATAAATGGCGGAGGGTAATATATGCGGAATAAAAACGCTAACACACCACACTTAAACTCGATTCTCACGTGAGCCTCAACACCAAACAGATCTGATTGGAGGGAAAAAGCAAAACTTATTTCATCCAACTGTTGTTTAGGATGTCAGTGTCTTTTGTTCTCCACTAGACAGATAATAGAATGGAAAAAACAGCCCAAATTACGAGGCCCACTTAGTTAGAGTGAAAAAATAGGAAACCTTTTGCGGCCGAAGACAGATAATGTAATACCGCGTCTTTCGCAGAACACAAGGTTTTAAAAACAACGTTTACACTAAGTGAAATGTCCATGCAACAGCTCTGTGGACGTCTTTTGCTGCTGCCAGGGTAGTCCAGGGCGATGCCTGAGGGGCTCTCACGGGAGCAGATTTTTGTTTAACCCAACATACCTCCTCGGTGCTATAACAAACTTTGAAACTTTAAATACACAAAAATTATCACGAAGTTTATGAATGGAACTTATCGTATTGCATGCAACCTGAAATATTGTACGGACGCTTGCGCATGCCCAGATTCTTCAACCGAACTTTATTAGGCGGTGGAGTGGGCGTGTGTGAGCGTGTGTGTACACACCTAAGAGCATTTAACCGTCCCATACCTGTGTATGATCCCAATGATGGTTAACGCAAGCACAGTAATTCGGCATTTGAAAAACAGAAAATTTGTCGTGGAGACCAGGCAAAAAGCTCCCTAGTGCGCCAATAATTCCACATGGGACTTTCCAGAACATTTATTTCTTCAGCAGCCACCACATTTGCATCTCGAAACGGTCCTGATTTTAATTACTCGGTGTATGTAGCAGAAAACACTGTATTATTATGGATCTGCTTTGCAGTCCCAAGTCACACGTATTTACTTAGTTTTTGCAGTAAACGGCTGGCATTTCCAAGGCTGCATCAACGGCAGCGATGTGAGTAGTCAAGGCAGGTTCGAGTGTTATAAAATAGGCGTTGCGAGCAGCTCATGACTGAAATTTGGTAATCAGCAGCCTTAATGTAGGCCAGCCACCAGTGCGGACACACTGGGCGCACCGAAATCGCGGCAAAACGCACCTAGCTACATCGATTCGGCCTGGGCACAAACCCTAGGCCAATCACGACACGCGGAAGTAGAGCGCGGTGACGATGTGCAAGTGCGCGCGCGCGCGTGCGTGCAGCAGGGACGCCGCTTTCAAGTCGAGGGCATCTAGGCCTGCCGAGAGGCGTATGGCTAAATCCGGGGCAATATGGCCCTGGGGAAGTTACCAACGTAAAGTGTGACCATATTCCGGTACATGTGCTAGACAAACATACTAGCCACTTGCGTAAAACGAAATTATCGTACACACGCGGTCTTCGAATATGGCTGTGACCGCATGGAAAGCGATCAAGTGCTAAGACTTCCACAAAAGATACTTGAAAGAGTTAGATCACGAGACGATATGTGTCCGGAGGTGCTTAAACATATACACATTTAACATGTTTGTCCCCTTTTAAGAGACTACTCGAAGGTATGACTGCCTTGCATGCAATTAGGTGCAACGTAGGACGAGGGTTTTTATTAGGACTGTGGCGCAGTGTCCTCCTGGTTGCAGTCGCCTTGACGGTGCACGCTGAGGCGAAAGCGGCGGCAAAATAAATAAATTTCTGGTCAGGGCAGGGCGGTGCTCGCATCGACCATACAAAGCAGGGCAGAACAATGACCCACCGTTTTTCGAGCGTCTCCACATATTCCTTCTTCTTACGTCTGCTTTCCTGTGCACTAATCTTGTTTTTAATTTTTCGGCGTATTTTCTTGAGATTTCGTTCCTCCTGTTTCGAGAGAGGAAGGCGTGTAGGCACTGAGTAGCCCTCTGCAATTAGAGTTCTTTTCTCTTCCTCGGTCAGCACCAGAACGCCCGACTGTTGATAAAGCAGAAGCAAGTGTTAAGCATTTTCCAGTGACTACTCTTAAGAAAAAAGACTAAAAATGCAAAAGCGGTTTTGCATTATTGCATAAACAACGGTGACTAAGCAACACCAATGTGAATTGAATTGGAATCATAACTGGGAAAAAGCCTATAGCAAAGTGGGACACAAACATATGAAAGATTATACAGGGGGAAGCTATTTATAAGCAGTTTAGTTGCATTGGGGAATCCGACAATTGGCTGAATGAATGGTAGCACATGACAGGATTGGGAATGTCCTGAGTGGAGCAAGGACTGATTTTGGCACGCCAGATCTCCAGAATCGAAAGGTACAGAGGCAATAAAAATATTGCAAACATTTGAATTTATTTGGCAGTAAATTTGCAACAAGCTCAGTCTTTTTGTTTCAGCAATGCAGGCGAACGACGGAAGTTAAAGACCCATCCGACCCTCTCGCAATTAATGTTGGAGTTAAAACTAAAGACATTTTAAAGCATGAGTCTAGGAACTACAAAAACTCGATAACATTATATTAATTTTTGATTGCTTCAAGGATAAGAGAACAAAAGTTCATCAACAGACAGATTGACTAGTCGCCATTCAGTATAAGCAAACATTACCTAAAATATGAGAGCATTTATAAACAAAGTCAAGCACATGCCACCGACCTAAACATGACTTGACGTCCACGGCTGCTTTGTGCATTAGCCTTGATTAGCGTTTTGTTGAGATTTGCGCACTTGCGTCACTATTGAGGGCTTGTACACCAGAGTAAAAGAAGCATTATTTGAAAAAATTAGTTATTTGAAATGTTTCTTTTTTCAAAGTGGATAAACGTTTGCACAGATTAAGCATGGCGAACAATAAGGATTTTCGTGATAAGCTAATCAAGGCTGCGTGGCTTGGCAACCAAGTGGACAAGAGGACTTATCGCAGGAATGGCTCGATGCCACGGTGGCGGACCTGAGTAAATTGTGCGAGCACTACCAGTTGTTACACGCCATCAGTGGATTTAGAATCGGTTTAGTTTAACTCTTGCAGTGACAGTTCTTTCCGCCAATGACAAAAATAAATCAAATTAATGATGGCCTACCTCCCTCTACAACTACCCAAGGCAATTGCGGACTTTTGTTGCCTATTAGTGCATGTTCATTTGGCCAGTTTTCGATGAAAATAATTCCCAGCTATTTACGATAATGAATTAGTCTATGGAGTTAGTTGGGGCACTTAAAGGTCACAGAACATCATTGGTAATTAGAAAGAACTGAAAAAAAGGCATAATTTTGCCTCTTACAACACTGAAGCACAAATTATGGTGAAGATGGATTGTAACCACTGGTCATGCATTTTAAAAGGGAAACTAACGGATTTTCCAGTTAATTACGCACTGGAAATGCCGGGTGGCTGCGTTTTTCTATTTTATTTTAAAAAAATCTAAAACCTTCATGACTCAGATATAGACCTCTTTGGCAAAACATAGGTCTTATGGATCCGGGGTGCCGAAAACCACCACCGACTTTTTTACTAAAGGAAAGGGCATAATAAGCCTGAATTATATGGCCCCAAAGCCAAATCGAATGCAAATATACCTAACAATAAAACGTGCTAGTTTTTCATTTATACAAGACCTGTCCTAACGTATTTGTCGTTGCTTAGTTGTCAACATGTTAGTGAGTTAGAAGACACTCGTTACAGAGAAATAAGAGAAGGAAAGACAATACAAAGTAGGATTTTATGATCCAGACCTCGATGCCAAGTTGTTCACAATAAAACCAACGATGAGGCCAAAGTGATTGTGCGAATATTGAATGCTCACAATTTTATTTCAGTCGCAACAGAAGTCAGCGCCATGCTGCATAGGATAAACAAGGCAGTAAGCGCAAAACACTGTCAACTTGCCAAGAACTACAACACCAAAATCTAAAACTGTTGTGGACGCAGGTGGCTGAAATAAAATATACTGCGAGGACTCAGTAAGTGACCGTCGACAGAGATGATTTGGTTACTAGAAAAGGCGGGGCGTGGAATAGAACACAATGGCGCACAATGATGGCAGACGGTCAGTGTGCCATTGCGCAATTCACCAAGTCTACACAACCAATGCCTAGTTTTATTTGGGATATTTTCAGTCACTGACATCGATGGACTGTGAAACACTGGCGAAGTTTTGAAAAGTTCCATTCAGTTTAACAAGACCGAATACCAACAAAAACTGGCTCTCAAATCTACTGTTTGTGTATTCACCAACATGCCTTCCCCTTGTCCAACTGACTAGGTAAGACGTTGGTGTGGGGGACTAATAACAATTACGTTTCATCAGACTTAGTCACCCAGAGCAGTTCAAGACAGTACTTGCATTCTAGACGGGTGTGATAGACTTTTTAGGCTGAATGGAAACCCAGTGTCGCCATTTGAATAAAGAAAAATCCCGTTTAACGGCAGCATACCTACTTAAGAAAGTCCCCATCCCAAGAAGCTCAATTGTGGAATGCCTGTGGCAGGCATTAACTACTCGAGTTTGGAACATTTGCAATGGACCAGGCCTACCTCATGGTTAGCAAAAGACCAAAACATGACTGTAGGGAACACGAAAAAGAGCAGTCCGAATTTGTTCCTTTGATGGAGATGAATCAAACGAGTAGGGAGGGCACTTTTGAACAACCTAAATTTACTTATAACTAATAGCGCGATAACCTAACTAATTGCAATAATAAGCAGGATGCATAAGTATGCTGTTTGTTACTTTTTATCATTACATAACACTAAGTGGACAACCAAAATCTGGCATTATATGACTTGCGGCCTTAACTCGTATGTGCGCGCGCACACCCAAGCACTCACAAAAGCGTTTATTGCGCGCATACAATCTAAAAGTCAATAAACACACCGGCAGGCACCAGCGCGTCACGGTAACACGCCTTCATTCTAAGGTGGCAGCATCGCCGACAGCCTCCCTCCCAACAAGTGTGCATACACTCATTACAGACACAAGCACATGCTCGCGTAGGCCAAAACACCCACGCATGTGAAAGCAAATGTGTTTACATGTTTAACAATTCCGGTGAAGTAAGGACCAATATAGAGAGCAAATAATGCATTAAATGTGTATGATGACGTTGTGATCAAGGTTCATGCGTTAAGTATTTTTTCCGTGACAAAAGAATTGAAAATTGAAGACGGTTTAATTGGATAGCATGCTCAATAACTAGGCAAAATGCAGTACACATTCAAAAGGCTCAGGTTAACAAAGGTGCCTTTCTTCAATGTAGACAATCCAACCGTTATTTCGGTTAATTAATTTGGTGGATATTGGATACTTGCGCAAGCTACTAAAGCCACACCAGAACCATCCATGTAAGACGTGTACACACATACGTGGAGCACTAAGACTTGCAAATTTCACTAACTTTAGTGCAAAAAAAATCAAGGATTTCCTACATAAATAATAAAAAGGAAGCCATCCAAATGGGATAAATACGTATTAACCGTAAATACGCTATTATAATGTTAATTGACAAAAAAACAGCTCGATAAAACAACAAAAAATGTTTTGGTCAACACTTATTTCAGACAATCATCAAAAACAATAACAAAGTTTAAAACACAAAACCAGCACGATGTTATATCCTATTTGCATTGCCATAAAGCCATAGCTTAGTAACACAGTAAGCTTAGCACAACTCTAAACGTTTCAGAATGTAGAAGTTAAGTGGTAAAAAAGTATTTTAAGACGGAAATATAAACGTCTTGATAGATTTACCGAGCTTTGAAAAATAGGTTGCTGCCTGTAGGAAGTCGAAGAACTGACTGTGCTATATGCATTCGCATAATCATCTGTAAAATCAGCATTGTGACTAGCACCAATCGGTCTGCTCAAATAGGTAGCACTGGGTCTACTAGTTGTAGCATAGAGAGTGCTATTAGTTGATTGTACACGGACCGCAGAAGCTGAGGGCGTTGAATATCCGTTTCGCGAACTAAAAATACTTAAACGGTTACGAGGATCAGCTCCATCTGCGGGCGAATCGGCACCAGCATCTGTGTCTGAACTGGTATGGGATCCTGGTGGTGTCAGGGGATAGACAGATAAGGTTCTTTGATTATTCGTCAATGCTTTTCCACGTGTGCGCTCGCTGCTATCTGCTCGATAAACCTGTTGAGCGGTAGAACCGACGCCTACGCAAAAAGTTACAGTGAATAACTGGAAAAACCAAGTCATTGTTGAAAAAGAAAAAATAAACTCACTGGTAATGGTTTTTAAACGGGCCTGTGAACTAAACACTTGAGGGATTCGATAAGGCTTTTCAGTTTGTAAAATCAGTGTCTGCCCTTTTTGAAGCACGTAGTGAATACGATTGACTGTACTGGAGTTGGTATCGCATGATATGGCTGGCGGAGAAAAACTACATGAGGTTTTTTTTGCCACTGGTTCGCCAACAAGACTTTCAGCATAAGGATGCCTCTTAAATTTTTTTGAGATTAATGCCAAATTAGGATTTGTCCCAAAGGAATCCGTGATGGGCGGTGTCGAACAGTTGCTGCTTATTTCGGGTGAAAGTCGAAACGTCTCCGGTGATGTATCTGAGGCGTTACTTCGATGGAAAGCATCTTGGTCATTAAACAAATCCGGCTTCCCATGAACACCGGAAGGCGCAACGAAATGGTCAGTGGAGTTGTTCACTTCAACCTCATCACCAACAACAAGTTCATTGGCGAAATCTATTTTGTCATTGTAAAACACAACTAATACCAAAAATATCAGCATCGACAGGTTCAGGTTTAGCCGCATTTTTTGAAGTAATATCAGTAAGCAAATCGTCCTTAAAATCATTCTCAAGTATGTTGTCAAAAACATCAGTAGCCCACACTTGTTCAAGGTCCAATGAAGACTAAAGGAATAGTTACATAAAGTAGACCTTACAAGATCTTCATCATCTAGCCCCGGGAACACGTCACTTAGCTCCAAAACCTCCATCAGTAGACGGACCAGACTCAAATAACCCGCGTACAGAGGTAAGCGTAAAATATTTGTGTTTAAGACGTATAACAAAAATGACAACAATAGTCCATCCTAAATTTCCACCCTCCTCTTCATGCTTTGGAATCATAATTTTTTAGTAACTTTTTTGATGTCGACCTAAGACACGTCGCACTAAGTTTCTCTCTAATTGTGCTAATTGGCAATGCCAACATATTATATTTATAGGACAAACAATTGCACTAACAAAATGAAAACCAAGGTTAAGCTTTTGTAATTAATTTACACTCTGCAATAATTGTCTTGCCATCGCTGTATTTAAATAATCAACCATAGGACTTAAGGTGAAATAATGAGCAAATTATTCTCCTGAACTGATATTGTTTTTCTTGAAAAGCTTTTTTTAATTATGGTCTTACTGATCATTTGTCAAAATGCTTCAAAATTACTGGCTATTTTTAGCGAAAAATAGAATTTTCTCATTTTCCGGTATGTGAATTTTGTTCAAGGGGGATCTAGTATAATAAGTTAAATGTTTTGAGAGAATTTGGAAACCAGCTTTCAAAAAAATTGAGTCACAAGAATATGTGCTGTCTGTAACTTTGATTTAAAAACAGACCTCGCAAGTTGTAAAATTGCCCAGGAAGCGCTTTTTTCCTTCTTTTTGTTTTTATTTCTTGCACTTACGATGACATTTTAACGTTCTCTTCACTTTGGATGTGCTTAACAAAAGTCTATCGCTTGCTAATAAGCATCTACACGACTTTTTATAAACATTCAAATCCATTACTTTAATATAACACTTTTATGACATTACTGATCGCACTATGATGTGCGAATGCTGATTGGTCTCAACTAACCTTAATACGGCGCTGAGGAGCATTAAAAATGTTAGAGCCGATTAGGGAAAAGCTTACCCAGATAGGTCAAATGAAGAGTTAGTTGTCGACATTTGCGATCAGCAAACATTGTGTAATAAAAGTGACTCGATGATCCGTAGTCTTGACGAAAGTTGCAATAAGTAAAGGAAGAAAGGCGAAATAGCAAGGGAATAGTATGAGAAAGTGGCAGGCCAATAGGTAGTGGCTTGACAGAAACGTTGGCATTTGGTGTGACAGAC